ACTGTCACCACTCGTTACCCAAGAACTAGTATTTTCCCTATTTACAGATAAGGAAACCAAGTCTTAAGAGGTTTGGAGACTTGTTCGTGACATCAAAGTTTAGACTCTTAAATACTGCTACATACTAGCTTTAAAAAAACCTTTTAGGGACTTCTCTGGTGGTCCAGTGGTTAAGAATCCATCTTGCAATGCAAGGGATGCCACTTCCATCCCTGGTCAGGGAACTAAGATCCCACATGCCTCGGGGCAACTAAGCCCGCGAGCCACAACTAGAGAGAGGACCACGTGCCACAACGAAAGATCCCACATACTGCAACTAAGACCCGACACAGTCAAAAAATAAATAAATATTTAAAAAAACAAAAAACAAAAACTTTAATACCACTTCACACCCATTAGGATAGCTATAATCAAAAAGATAAAACAACTGAGGACATGGAGAAACTGGAACCCTCATACCTTACTGGTGGAAATGTAAAATAGTGCAGTCACTTTGGAAAACAGTATGGCAGTTTCTCAAAGACTAAGCATAGAGTTACCATGTGACCCAGCAAACCTACTCCTAGGTACATATCCACCAGAAATGAAACATATGTACACACAGAAATATGTACATAAATGTTCACAGCAGCATTATCCAGAATAGCCAAAAAGTGAAAATAACCCAAATGCCCAGCAACACATGAATGTAAATAAAACGTAGTAAATCCATACAACGGTATATTACTCAGCAGTAAAACGAAAAGAAGTACTGGCACAGGCTACAACATGGATGAATTTTGAACACATTTTACTAAGTGAAAGAAACCAGACACAAAAGGTACATACTACATATTATATTTATGTGAGATGTCCAGAATCAGCAAATCCACAAAATAGAAAGCAGACTAGCAGTTGCCTAGGGTTGAGAGAGTTGGGAAAAAACGGGGAGTAAATGCTAATGGTTATGGGTTTCTATCTTTTTTGGTTGCGTTGGGTCTTCATTGCTGCACGTGGGCTTTCTCTAGTTGTGGTGCACAGGCTTCTCCTTGCAATGGCTTCTCCTGTTTCGGAGCATGGGCTCTAGGTGCGCGGGCTTCAGTAGTTGTGGCATGTGGGCTCAGTAGTTGTGGCTCGAGGGCTCTAGAGCGCAGGCTCAGTAGTTGTGGCACACGGGCTTAGTTGCTCTGCGGCATGTGGGATCTTCCTGGACCAGGGATCAAACCCGTGTCCCCTGTATTGGCAAGCGGATTCTTAACCACTGTGCCACCAGGGAAGTCCCATGGGTTTCTTTTTGGGGTGATGAAAATGTTCTAAAACTGACTGTGGTAATGATTACACAACCGTAAATATACTAAAAAACACTGAACTGTACACTTTAAATGAGTGAGCTGTACGGTATGTGAATTTTATCTTAGTAAAGCTGTTTTTTAAGTATTTTACAACTTGAACATTTTACTTAATTTCTACTAGTCTTCATTTCACAATGGAAAAAATACTTTGTTTAAATTTGAAATTAAGAATATAAGCACTTTAATGCACAAAGCCAAAAATGTTAACTTCTTAAAAATTTTTAAATAAATTAAGCTCCATCTTAACTGATAAGGCTTCACAGAATCACACTGTTCTCTACTCAGATTTCAAAATACCTTATAATGTGTTCATAAGCTAATTTACCAGTGTATTAGTTCCATTTTCTTTTTTCCACACTAGCTACGTGGTCCTATAAAATCACTACTGTGGGGCTTCCCTGGTGGCGCAGTGGTTGAGAGTCCACCTGCCGATGCAGGGGACAAGGGTTCGTGCCCCAGTCTGGGAAGATCCCACATGCCGCGGAGCGGCTAGGCCCGTGAGCCGTGGCCGCTGAGCCTGTGCGTCCGGAGCCTGTGCTCCGCAACGGGAGAGGCCACAACAGCGAGAGGCCCGCTTACCGCAAAAAAAAAAAAAAAAAAAAAAAAAATCACTACTGTGTACTATGGTAAGGAAATGAAATGAAGTAATGTGTTTGCTGGGGACAGTTGGAACATATGAAAATATCAGATGTACATGAAATTCTAAACTAATAAACAACCATCTAAAATCTATACACATCAAATTTTCAGAGACTTTCCCCATCAAAGACTTGGGAAAAAGTTTTAAAAGAACCTCACGAATAAAGATTTTTTTTGGCGTTTGGTAAGGCTTCTCTTTACACATGTCCTTATGGCCTTGTTCCTCAAAGTCTGGTCCATGACCAGCAGCAGCAGCATCTCCTGAGAGGTGATAAATGCAGAACCTCTAGCCCCACTCCAGACCTACTCAACCAGAATCTGCATTTTAACAAGATCCCGAGGGGACGTGTCTGCACATGAAAATTCGAGAAGCACTGTCATAAGATACTTCCTTTTCTTTTTCCATTAAGACAGCTCTAGCTTGCACTGGACTAATGTTTCAAAAACTTGACATACATACAGCTCTGGTCCTGGGCCAGCTTGTCCTCAGTTCCATTCCTCACTCTTCTGCTCTACTCCAAATTGCTGATCCCTGCAGGCTGGGTTTCCCAGGCAGGAGGGGGCATGGGGTGAGTCTCCAGGAGCAGCTGTGTCCTTCCAAGCCTCCAGCCCACGCCAGATGACCCATGGTGGTTCCAGCCTCTGGTGAGTCGTAGTTGTTCCTGATATGCTGCCTCCCGGCTTGTCTTCCAGCTTCCTGTTTGCTGCCTCATCGCAGGGTTACCTCACTGCCCACTGTTTGCATTCTCAATTCTTCAGCACCTGTGCGACCACTCCCCATTGAACTCCCTCTGTTTTGAATACTTAAAGTGGGTCGTTCCTTTTTGGACTCAGAATGATACCCCATACCATTCTGGATATTTCCCCTGTGCACCACATATACCAGAGGAATTTTCTGAATGGCTTATCTGCTTTAAAAGGGGGAGTGGGGAAGGGAGGTTGGGAGCTACCACACACACAGTAAACCTCACATTCCACCAATCTCTAACAACCCAAAAGAAAACTCAACCTTAAGCTATTTGTACAGCAGATGTGACTGTATTCAGAAACTCAAGTCCTCGGGGTGTATTTTTAACACTCTACCCATCACTCCTCAGCCAGAACAGCTGGTGTAACAGCTATTGTTTTAAGAGGGGAAAAAAAGACTCCTTAAGAACAGAATTCTGGACAAACAGTGGAATCTCTGAGAGATCAAATCTTAATAACAGTTGTAAATCACATGATCCACCCTATACTGGGCACACACCATGCTTGAGGACCAAGCAACAGGTGAGAACAACTCCTATCAGTACCATTTAGGGCTACTTGGAGATCTTTCTAAAGGCACCTCTGACCCATCACTCTCAGGCTCTGAATAATCCTTAGTGGCTCCCTCTTGCCCAAGGCCACAAACTCAACTCCAGGGCTATCCTTTCAAAATCCAGCCTGATCTACCTTTCCAGCCTCTTCCTCATTCCTCTCAATCTGACCCACTCACCTTCTGACCATTCCCAGGTGTGCCTAAACCTGTAGATACAACATTCAACTAGGTGGAAAGTCCCTCTTTCCTTACTTAGCCTGACAAACTCTTTCCCGCAAGATCCTGCCTCCCAGGGTAGCTGGAGTCTCAGTCCTCTAAGCTTCCACAGCACTTACTACATCATACTGTCACATGGACAGATGTCCACCTCCTACAGGCTGGGAACCCCGAAATGGAGAAACTGCCTTCCATCTTGGGATCCTGACCATAGCTCAGATCCAGATCCAAGCTACTACCAGTGACACCCTGGGCAAGACACTTACCCTCTCCACCTCCAATTCCGTAAGAAGGGAATGACAGACAACACCCACCAACAACACCCACTGGTGGGTTATCACCAGTGCTAATGAGTTAACCCATGGAAAGTGCCGTAAACTTAGCCCAAGAAAAGTGCCTGGCACACAGTAAGCACTGGAGAATTGCTAGCATTATAATTACTACTATTACTGTTATACCTGGAACACAGGAGGTGTTCAATACCTATGTGCTGAATAACTGGAGCACTTCACAGTAAAACTGTTTGTAACATTGGGACAAAAGGTTGCCCCATCCCAGGTATCAGAGGCTGACATAAGATTAAGAAACGGCTCCCACGGTAAAAGTACCAGCTGAACTCACGGGCCCTGGAGGAAAAGCGCACTGCAGCGGGATGAGATCGTCTGTGCCAGCTGGATCTGCCCAGGCTGCCCACAGACCCAGTCTGCCCTCAGCCACCTGTCCAACCACCTGCCTGAGGAAGCCGTGTGCTAACACAGAGGGCTCACCTGCAGCAAAACCCAAAAGCAGTTTGCAACAGAAACCGCAATGGGAAAACAAAGGGTGCAACTTTACTCCTGCAGAAAGGAAATGCGTCTTTCTGCAGCTAATACTTCGCGTCTGGAGTTCTCCACCGAGAGTGAGATGCCAAGCGGGTGAGCAGCCAGGGACAGCCCCCCTCTCCCCGCTTTCCCGAGGAGGGAGAGAGAGACGGTCACGGGACCTGCCCTTTCCCGCACGAAAATCCACGCGAGGGGAAGGAAGAGCCCCACACCTGGGTCCAATCGGATTTCTCAGGGGCCACAGGTGAGTGCAGAGCACCCAGCGAGAAACAGCCCGATCCGTCCTCAGAAATGTGCAGAACCCGGGTCGGGGAGCGCTCGCCGGCCGGACGCAGCCAGGAGTCCCCATTTCTGGTGCGCTCGCCCCCCAGCCTGCAGGCCTGTCCCTCCCGGTCCTCGCGGCACGGGGCTTCCTCGCGGCCCGCCCCGCCAAGCGCCCTGCCGGCCCGGCCCCGCGCGCCGCCCACCTGCTCCCCGGCCCGGGGGTCCCCGCGCCGCCCCGCCGGGAGGCGCGCTCAGCCCCGGGCGCCTGGTCCGTTACCCCGCGGAGCGCGCTCCGTCCGAGCAGCGGCGCCCGGCGGGACCCTAGGCCGGGCCGGGCCGGGCCTGGGCGGCTGCTCGGGCCGAACTGCGGGCCTCACGGGGCTGCCGCGGCGTGAGGGGCGCGCGCCCGGGCCGCCGCCGCGGGCTCACCTTCTGGCGGATCTGGCCCGACGTGGACACCTTGCGGATGAGCTTCTGCGGGGAGCCGGGCTCCGCCTCGGGCTCGCTGTCGGACGACTCCTCAGGCGGCGGCGGCGGAGGCGGCTGCGGCGGACCCGGCTGAGGGGCACCCGCCGCCGCCGCCATGCTGCCGGGCCAGCGCGCGCACAGCGGGCGGGGGCGGGGCCGGGGCCGGGGCCGAGCCGGGCTGGGGGGCGGGGCCCGGAGGGGCGGGGCCTGGACCGCTGTCTCCAGCTCCGCCCCTCCGCGCCCCCTGCCGGCCGCGCGCGCAGCCGGAGGTGGCGCCCCTGCCGGGCGTCTCTTCGCCCCCACCGGTGGTGTCAGAACCACAGGTTTTAGCAACTGTTTCTTTTCTTCCTGGGACACAATTTGTATGGGGTTTTTTATTTTTGTGTTCACTCTTTTTCATCTTTAATGTTCCCCTTCAAGAATGTAAGTGACCTCCAGGCGGCTCGGGACTGTCTTTCTTGCCCTGCATCGTGTCTCCAGCATCTAAAGCAGCGTCTGGCATTTAGTAGTTAGTTGCACGACGAACAGTTCGAGGAGTGGGTGAATGCATGCATGAATGCAGGAAAGAAAGTACTTGGACAGGCCTGTGGGATGCCGGAACAGGGATACACAGTTCCATCCGAGAAGGCTTCCTGGAGAAAAAGATAAAGTGAGACGGAAAATGTGAGCAGGAGTTATCCCTAACCGGGGACCCCTGTTCCAGGCCAAGAGATGAGATTGTGCAAAGACCTGGAGGCAAGAAAGCACACATCTCTGGAAAAAAGGGAAACTGTAGCCTAAAGGAAGGAAAATACTTGAAGAGATGAGCCTGGGGGCGGGCAGGTCAGACTGGGCCTTTGTAAACCTGATAAGGGGGTTGGTCTTTTAGGCTGAGTCCTGAAGGCAACAGGAAGCCCTTGAGCCATCTCGACCCTGGGCGGGGCTAACTGACAAAGCTGAGGACTGTGATCCAGGCTTTGAAGCAATCGGGGCAGGTGGCTGCCCTGGATTACTGGGAGGGGCTGGGGAGACAGAGAAGTGGACTTCGGAGGGTAGCTGGAGGAGAGGCAGAGGCAATTTGGGATAAGCCCCTCCTTCCCAGCTAAGACAGCTGGAGGAGAGGGAGTGAAATTGGAGGTGAGTTTTTGCTGCCCTATGGGACCTCCAGGTGGAGAAGGGTTTGGTGCCACCTGAGAAGGGCAAATCCTCTTTAAAGACCCTATCTCCAGATACAGCCACATTCTGAGGTACTAAGGGGCTGCACAATTTTCCCCTTGCCCTTTCAAAGGGCTGCTCCTAGAGACACAGTGGCTCCTGTCCTGCCTGCGGGTCAGCACACTCTGGCCCCCACTGCACTGGGCAATGCTTTCCAGAGGCAAAATAAGTGAGACACCCCCCCCCCCCCAGGGGCCACAGAGGAGCATCTGGTGTGGGGACATGGCCAGGGGAATGGATACACTGCCAGGACAGAGTATATCAGGGCCTAATGCAGGAACACTCTGGGACACGCTGGAGACCCCTGGTGAACCCAGCTGTGCAGCCCAGTGCTGTAGCCACTAGCCACATGTGGCTACTTCGATTTCAAGTTCAATTAATTAAAATTAAATTTTCAGTTCCTTGGTCACACTAGCCACATTTCAGCTGCATGTGGTTTAGCAGCTACCACACGGGACAGCACAAATATAGAAGATTTCCATCATCGCAGAAAGTTCCGCAATGCAGGACAGTGACGGCTCCTGTATACTGCCCACCGGCCACACCCCAGACACTTGACCAGCGACTCTAGTCCACACACATGTCCCCCAGAGCAAGCTTGATGGTCTCATTCTAGAGATGAAGACCTGAGGTTCAGATACGTCTCCCAAGGAATTCATGAGAGGCAGAATTTGAACTTGGACTACGTGATTCCCAAGTCCTTGACCCTTCAGGGTTAGGCCTCCCAGGAAGCTGAGGCTCGAAGGAGCTCAGAGGAAGAAAGAGGAGAGAAGGGTCTTGTTATGGGCTGACTTGTGTCCCCCCTCCCAACATTCATACGTTGAAGTCCTAATCCTCTAGTACCTAAGAATGTGGCCGTATTTGGAGACAGGTAGGTAATCAAGTTAAGGAGGTAATCAAGTTAAAATGAGGTAATTTTAAGGAGGTAATCAAGTTAAAATGAGACCATTAGGATGGGCCCTAATCCAATACAACTGGTGTCCTTACATCAATAAGAAGACATTTGGACGCAGACAGGCTCCAAGGGAAGACCATGTGAAGACACACAGAGAAGTCATCTGCGAGAAAAGGATAGAGGCCTCAGAAGAATCTGACCCTGCCGACACCTTGATCTCAGACTTCTGGTCTCCAGAATTGTGAGAAAATAAATTTCTGTTGTTTAGGCCCCCAGGTCTGTGGTACCTTGTTATGACAGCAAGGAGCTGGCTAATAAGGGCACAGAGGGGAGGGTGTCCTGCATCTCCATGGAGATTGGTGATTTTTGTATCAATTAATTACAATGTAGTGTGATACATAAGTGTAAAAATCTAAGGGTGTTATGGGGGGAGGGACGGTACAGCAGGAGAAAAAGTTATAACTCTGCCAGAGGTGTCAGGGGAGCCTCTCCAGAGGACGGATTACCCCAGCCTGGTTTGGAGATTTGAACTGAAAGGCGAGGGGATGGAGGGAATTTTCCAGGAAAATACAAAAAGGCAGGAGACTACTAGGCGAGTTGGGAGGATGATGGGGATTTGCATTTGCTGCTGAGCCACTGGTCAGGTGGTGGGGAGTCTGGAAGGTGAGCTGCACCAGGCCTCAAAGCAGCCTCTGTTTGACTCAGGAGCAAGGACGTTATCCTCTGGGCACCAGAGCCACTGAAGGGTTTTTGCAAAGCAGAGGAGGGTTCTATCCCTGGTCGGGGAACTAGATCCCGCATGCATGCCGCAAGAGTTCTCATGCCTCAACTAAGAGTCTGCATGCCACAACTAAAGATCCCATGTGCCGCAACTAAGACCTGGTGCAGCCTAAATAAATAAATATTTAAAAAAATAAAATAAAGTGACTTACCAATCCAGGCAATGCCGATTTGGGCCAGAACCGAGGAGGTAGTTGTGGAGGTGGAGAGAGGAGGTGACAGACAGAAGACGTAGTAGAGGGAAGAATAGGGACCAGGTTCTCCCTGGCAGGAGATTAGGGAGTGGGGCAAGTCGGAATGCCTCCCAGATACGGGGCTTTCCAGGGAAGAACGCCCCACTGAGCACAGTAGGCCTAGAGGAGAAGATGAACTTGGTTTGGAGCAAACTGAGCTTGAGACGCCAGGGTGTGCTGTTGCCTATGCCCGTTAGATGCTCAGGGGATACCAAGGTTCCAGAATCCATCATTTTAGAGGCGAAAAGCCAGGGGCATGAACGTGAACGCAAGGGAGAGTTGGGAGGCAGAGATTGTGGCTGAATAGGAGTCTATTTGCAATTATGAAAAAGTACCAGAAATTGTCACAGCCAAGAGGAGCCTAAGGGAATGTGATGACTAAATGTCATGTGGGATCTTGGAACAGAAAAAGGACATTAGGTAAAAACTAAGGAAATCTGAATAAAGAATGGGCTTTAGTTTAATAATAATATGTAAATATTGATTCATTCAGATTGGCAAATACACCATCCTAATGTAAGATGTTAATAATTTAGAGGAAACTGGGTATGGGGGAACTCACTGTACTTTCTTTGCAACTTTTCTGTAAATCTGAAACTATTTGAAAATAAAAAGTATATTTTTAAAAAGAGTATTAAGCTTAGTAAGAAGTATATTATGTTCTTAAATCAGAGGAACACAACTGCCATATTTTCTCTGATGAGCAAAGAAGCCTTTGTGTTCTCTGGTGGCTGCAGAGTACTGTTCCCTTGGAGACCACCCCCAAGGTGGCACGCCTGTAAGAGCACATTCACCCGTACCTCCTTATGCAATGAGTCACGCTGTGAATCATCTCTAACAATATGCTGCTCCCCAAGTTTACCCCACCTTAAGGGCATATCAAGGTGGCAGTAATAACACACTTCATATCCAACCTAATCTTTCTTCTCGACCTGTCAATGTAGAAGTGCACCTCCTGTCAAAAAGAACCGCTTCACGTTAGAATAGATAAAGGATGCACTTGAAAACATGGGCATTATCTTATTTTATCCTGAACTGCGGTTATGATTGACATCTGGAGCAGGACATTGTTTTACTGTGTGCGACATGTAGTTCCCCTTGCCCCCAGGACCTGTGTCAACCAAATACCACCCCCATACATTTCCAAGTGCACCCAGCTTCCGCCCCCTCCCTGCCCACCCCCCAAGCATAAGTAAACTAAACCCTTAGGGTTGTGATATTAGACTGGGAGGCAAGCAGTGAAAAATGTTAAAGGAATAGGAAAACAGACACTCTAAAAAGAAGTTATCTACACGCGATAAAATTGTAGAGAACTAAATACACACACACGAATACAAGTGAAAAGGGGGGAAATCTGAAAAAGATGGGTGGATTACAGCTACATGTGAATCTATAATTATCTCAATAATATTTTCAACTTAAAAAATAACTTAAGGGCAGCCATTGTTGAATCATAAATGCTCCGACAGTGCCCCCCCCAGACTCTCATATACACATTCAGCAACAAAAGGTGAGCAAAGGAAATTCCCTGGTGGTCCAGTGGTTAGGACTCCGAGCTTCCACTGCAGGGGGCACGGGTTCAATCCCTACTCAGGGAACCAAGATCCCGCATGCCACACAGTGTAGACCAAAAAAAAAAAAAAAAAATGGTGAGCAAAGTTCTGGTTGTTATAGACTCAGGGAAACCAGAGTTTAAGTCTTGACTCCAACTCTCACTAGCTGTGTGACCTTGGGTAAGGTACATAACCTCTCTGAACTGCAGTTTCCTCATCTAACAAATGGGAAGCATGGTTGGAATGATTAGATGTAACAGGTGAAGTGCCTAGCACAAGGCAGGTGCCCAGGAAATAGCAGGGACCCCTACTTCTCCTTTGGTTGCAGGTTGCAGAACTTTGCCCCAAGTTCTCAGCTGCCGCTTTCTCCATGCAGCACCCTCAGCTCCTTTGCACCCTGTTTCTCCCACTGCACCTACCTAGAAAACCCTGGGCTGCACCTCCAACCTGCACACGGGACATCCTGCCTTCCGACGCCAGAGCAGACACAACGCCTCTAGTGCGCAGGCCCAGCCAAGCTGAGGTTCCATGTCCCATTCGGGGCAGCGGCTGCTCACTTCCTGCTCACACCCGCACGCCCTTGTAGGGGCGGCCAGCTGCAGATCGTAAACTAGCCAGCACGCGAAAGTCAGGCGTTTTGGTACCAGAATAACCTGGAGGGCCAGGGCTGTCCTGACCTCTGCTCTCCAGGGACTGGCCTTCCAGCTCTTCTCTCTGGCTCTCACACCCGCACAAAGGTCCGACCTATTCCTGCCCACCCTGACTTAGGATATCCTGGGGTCAAGCAATGCAGGAATCAACTGGCTGATCCTCTCACCGGGCCCTGCCAGGCAGACTCCCAAGTCCCTGGCTTGCCCGGCATCTCGGGCGGGAGCCAACCACAGCCAACCTGTGGGCTTGTGGGGTAGGAAGGCAGCAGACGGGCTCAGATTCCCAGAGGAGCATGCCGCCCTCCCTGAGTATCCTGAGAGAGGGGTGTGGCTGGAGTGGAAGCCTGCCGATGGGGAAATCGTGTCTTACCCTGCAAACCCACAGCTTTTCGCCTGTATTTTTTTCTTAATTTTTTTTTGGCCGCATCACGCAGCATGCGGGATCTCAGTTCCCTGACCAGGGATGGAACCCGTGCCCCCTGCGCTGGAAGTGCAGAGTCTTAACCACCAGACAGCCAGGGAAGCCCCGTGCCTGTATTGTTATTATCAGTCTTCCTCCTCCAGAAATGAATCCTCACCCCTGTCAATATCAGAATGCCTCATATCCAACACTCGAGTTCAGACCTTGCACTGTGTGTATGGGATCCTGTCCAAGGTTCCCAAGTGGAGCCTCCGGTCTAAATCCCAGTCCCCAGGACACAAACCAGCCTGGAATCCTGCTGAACAAACCCAGATGTGGGAGCCTTCATATGCACGGAACCCACACTGCGTCTGGCCCTCCGCCACTGCTGTTTGTCCTGGAGACCTGACCCCGAGTGTCCAGCCCACACATGCCCCCTCCCATTCACCCTCGTACCTCCTGTGAGCGGGTTAAACTGTACAGAACTCTCCAACCCCCTTTCATCCTATTCCCTTGAGACATGGACCAGAGCCTACACATCCCCCAAGCCCCTCCGTGGCCACCAAGAGAGCCATTCAGCCTCTCTGCCATCATTAGCAGGCCCCAAGGCCGGGGTACCATGGGCCAGGAAGGGGATTCTGCAAAGGACAGGGCCCTGGCATCACCTCCGTTACGTCTCCTCCTTTACTCCCGGACGTGAGCATCCTTTCCCCCAACCCCTTCTATGTCCAATCTCGATGAAGACAGTCTAAACAAGAAGCCTGTCTGATTCACAGTGAACCCCCTCTTCTGGGACAACCCATTCCCGGGGCTGGGCTCTGCCATTGTTGGCCCCAGGGCACTGATCCCCTGACCGAAGCTGGGCCAGATTCTCCTGCCCAGAAACAGCACACGGGAACCAGAGGCTCGGAGACTAGGAGCGTCTGGTTCTGAGCCACCACCAGGTGAATGGCCACCCCAGAGGGCAGGACCCTGAGTTCCTGGGCTGGGACCCCGAACCTTCTCTGATTTCCACCCAGCCCAGGTGTGGCAACTGGAGATTCTTCCTTTAAGTCAGTTCTCTGAGCCACTCTGAGGTCCTTCCAATGCCTTCCTTTTTTTCCCCTTTAAACCAGCCAACTCGCAGTTCATTGTTTGCATTCAATGGAAACAACCAACAGCCCAGAGCTCAAACAGGACTTGGACCCAAAAGTTAAATCAGAGATGAAGAGTGTTTTTACCCACATGTGTCCACTGCCCTGTTTCTCTTGGGAGGCTCTTTGGGTGCCCTGGAGCTAGGATTGGTCAGGTCATTAGACACACTGCTCCCCCTCCAAGTTTCCAGGGAAACAGCTTACCCCAGGGGTCCTGGAGAAAGCCCGGGACACACCAGGCCCCTTCAAGTGAGTGCATTGATTTCAGGATGCCTTCTCGCCTTGATGGGTCTCCTTTCTAGATGCTGCCCTCCCCCCTGCCCAGACTCAGGGCCCCTCAAGGCTGCAGCTTGCGTGCTGTTGACGTCACTCAGCTTCCCCAACAAGTCAGCCTGACTCACAACCAGGACAGAAGAGACAAACTTTATTTCTGTGAAGAAGACCCGCACTTTGGTATTTAGCATAACTAAAGGGCTAACTGTGGGGCACTGCTACCATGCTGCTAACGACCCCATTTCCCGAGTCCTGAGCCGGCCTCTTCACTCATCCACAGCCGCTTCCTGGTCTGTCTTCTCTTCCTTAACTTCTCTTCCATCTTTCAGATTTTGGCGAGCAAACTCCTCAAAAACCAAATTTTCATCCTGTAAACTAAAATGAAACAAAGAACACTTTGATCATGGCATGTTCTTTGAAGCTTTCAATGAGATCTTGAGGAAAACAAGATCCTTGATCTCCCTTTTGCAACACAGGAACCGATCAAGATTTTCCTACGTGATGGAACACAGGACAATGCTGTTCTCCTCATAGTTTTTCAAGTAAAATCTCTTTAACAAACAAAAATCAGAGAAAATGAAGGAACCCACAGAGTAGACATACATGCCCGGAATAACTGTGTGTGTATATGTGAATGTGTGCACGTGTATGCGTATGTGTGCGCATGTGTGCGTGTGTGTATGCGTGTGTGCATGTCCTGGTACTAGAGAGCAAAAGGAAAGCCAGGCCCTGCGCCGGTATCGAGAGCATGGGGCGTGTATGGAAAGACCCAAAAAGGGGTTTGCGCTTGTCTTGTGCAGATCTCAGCCTATCAATAACCACTGTTGTGGTTGGACTGGCCCTTGTGGTTCCTGTTACGACTGCAAGATGCCATTCAGCAATAACCATCCAGAAACTTTTAGAAAATAAAGGTTTATTACTTACAGAACCTGGAAATTACACAGCATATACCTGGGGCCACACAGCGAGGTCGTGGGTAGCGAGGGAGAGCACACCGCACAGGCCTGGGGTTCTGCCTTTACTGGGGTTGGAGGTGGGGGCCTAGGGTTTCGAGGGCTCACTCTTTATTGGTGAATTTAAAACAGAAGAGCGGGAATTTAAAGTGCAGAAAGACAAAAAACAAGTGGCTCAAATGATCTGCTATTGAAATCAACCAAACTCTAAAACAAAGGAGAGGGAGTCCGGTGGCTGGCAATGTGTTTATTGGAGTGGATGCCTCTTTGAAGAGGATGTCTCGGCAATCAAAGCTTAAGTCAGGCACTTGCATTACAAAAAAAGAAAAACCAAAAACAACTGTGAGGGGTCACATTAGGGCTGTGGAGAAGGAGGTCACAGAACGGGATAACACCAAGCAGGGCTCACCTTTTCTTGGTCTTATCTGTGAGCATGGAAGAAAGGAGAGAGAGATCTATTAGCATAAATCCTGTCTACCGGAAATTTTCTTCCTTTGTTAGGTCACTTTATAGGTGGAGGAATAAAAGGCCTAGATATATGCATTTCATGAGAATGGCGTGTAATTCCTGCTTCTTTGCCATTTCCCACTCGGAGGGCCTTTCTCCCTGCATTTTTAACCATCACTTCCTCTAAAAGTTGCCACCACAGCCTTCACCTCCCCAGACGGAATCAGCCACAACCTCGCCTCTAGGACCCTTTCCCTGATTAGCCTCAGCCCCTCTGATGTTGTGCTTCTCCTTTCTAAGCCTTTCTCCCTATGTGCCCTTTGGACCCTGTCCAGATCAGAGTCCACAGGAGCTGTTACGACCCAGACTTCCACGGTCCAGCTCTCTAGGGGTGAGTCCTGAGACTTGACATAGAACTAGTACTCCAGTGGGGGAAGGGGGTGACTAAAGCTTGAGAACCACTCCCTGGCCCCTCAGGGAGTTTGACTTCTCTCTTAACACATTGATCTTGGGGTAGGGGGCGGGTGCAGGGAGTGGGTTAGATTTTCACATATATTTTGCAGACCCAGGGTTATTGCTAATTCTTTGTGAGGTTTTCTGCTTTTTGTTTTTGTTTTTTTTAATTATTTTTTCTTATTTATTTATTTGGCAGCGTTGGGTCTTTGTTGCTACACACGGACTTTCTCTAGTTGCGGCGAGCAGGGGCTACTCTTCGTGGTGAGGCACGGGCTTCTCATTGCGGTGGCTTCTCTTGTTGTGGAGCACAGGCTCTAGAGCGCAGGCTCAGTAGTTGTGGCGCACGGGCTTAGTTGCTCCGCGGCATGTGGGATCTTCCCGGACCAGGGATCAAACCCATGTCCCCTGCACTGGCAGGCAGATTCCTAACCACTGCGCCACCAGGGAAGCCCCTTGTTTTTGTTTTTAGCTTTCTGCTGCCCACCTAGTAAAGTCCTAGTGTAATCGCCTCACCACCCACCATGGTGAGCCAGGAAGAACTAAGTGAAGCTACACAGCTCCAGAGGGTTTGGGGGAGCTTGTGGCGGGGCTGAGCCACTGCCCTTATCTCTTGTGCCTGTCTGGAAGGCAGTACCAGGAGGGAAGTGTCTGTGTGGGCTGCTAACCACAGGGGACCTACAGAGAGGCTGACTCATCAAAATGACCCTGGGCAAGAACCATCCTGGACCCCCCCCCCCCAACCCTTGTATGTAATAAGTTCTGGTAGCATTTCTCCAGAACTTATTACATACAAATTACTTGGCCCCTGGCCCTGGCAGGGTTTCTTAACTCCAACTTATGCTTTCTCTGCTTAGCATCTACCCGTCTCAACTCGGGGCACCGGGGACCAGGCAGGTAAGATGTGAGCATGCATCTGTGAATGAAACTTGGGACTCATAAACCTCTGGAAATCAAAATTTTGAGGCCATGGTGTGATTTGTCCTTTCTCCCCAAAATCTCACAGTATAAAAGATCATTGGTTTAGCCTTGATGTTATGATATGTTCAACATGAGGGCCATAATGACTGGAACATGAAAATGTCATACCCAGAAAAGGAATCACTCCACTTCCCCCAAGTGAAGTCATAAAGTCTGTTCACGGGGCCAGAAAATGATCTGACACAAACTATGACATCTCCTCCGGTCATAGTTTTAAAATAGCCTTTTAGAATGTCCTTGAAAGGGACCAGAATGTGTCTCAATCTCACATAGTTAAAAATAGTATTTTAATGATACAAGCATAAATGAATAAAAAAAAAATATGGTTAGACTGTATTTTTCCCCCAAGGGAAGTTTTTGTCAAACTTCCAAAAGTTTTTGAGTATTTGAATCTAAAATATTTGGAAGAGATACTTTGAGACAAAATAGTTTTGAGACAAAGCCAAAATGAATATGGGCCTCATCCTAATGTTTAAATGCCATTTCATTAAAAACATAGAAAAGCTCTTTATAAAATATAAGAAAAAAAACCCTGCTTGTTTATACCACTTTTACTTAAAATGTTCTCAATTACTATAACTCGGGAGGGTTCTCATCCAGACAGGTCCATTTTTCTTTCCTGCCAACTAAGCCACCTTAACACACAGAGAAGAATTTTTCCTCAGAATTTCTGAGATTGCACCTACATTATTTTTGCCGCTTCATTTATCCCTTTTAAAAGAGCTGTATTAAGATCTGATTCAAATATCATACAATTTACCTATTTACATGTACAGGCCCATGGGTTTTAGTTTGCTCACAGAGCTGTACAACCATTACTTAATTTACTTTTAACATCCATACAAGAGCTGACGGATTTACAATTCAAAGGAGCCAAGGTATTAGGAACCCAGCCTGACCCTCTTTTCCAGTATTTTCTGTATTCTCATCATAACTGCCATCGTCAGAAACACTCATCATCTTCTAAATTCCTATTAATGCTTCCAAATGAAATGCAAAAGCCTCAGGCTGTCAAATTTACTTTTTTTTTTTTGGTCAAATTTACTTTTCACTCAAATTTTATTTAAATCTAAATCCAGGTCTGGGGACTTCCCTGGGGGTCCAGCAGTTAAGACTCTGCACTCCCAAAGCAGGTGGCCCGGGTTCGATCACCTGGTCAGGGAACTAGATCCCGCATGCATGCCGCAACTAAAAGATCCCACATGCCGCAGCGAAGACCAGACGCAGCTAAATAAATAAATTTTTTTTTAAAAAAAGAGAGAGTAGATCCTAAGACTTCTCATCACAAGGACAAAAACACTAAAAAAAAAAAAAAAAAAAATGAATCCATGTCTGTTCACAGCAAAGCTTCTGCTTTTAAATCATTCCTGATAAAACCAAACGAGACAACCCGCACCCAAGCAGGGATGCTACGTCCTCCACACACTCACTGGAAGTGGACAAGCCACCCGGCCCAGGACCTAGTAGCTGAGCACTCATTTCTGGGAGGGGGGGCCCAGGCACTTGAAGGTGGCCTGGAACCTCGGCCACCTGGCCCTGCCTGTGCTCAGACATGCGGTCAAGGAAGACTAGCAGTGAGTACGTAATAAATCTGTGAGTGGTAAAGGACTAGAAAAAGGCAAGATAATGCGAGACTGACCTGGGTCCTCAGACTGGGGGTGCATGAGGCGGAACGGCACGTCAGCGGTCACTTCACTAGAAAGAAAGAAGGATGCAGAGCGGTGAGAACACGCACACAATTGTAAACGCACAGCCAAGAGCTGGGAGCTGGGGTTGCAGAGCTTCGTGAAAGGTCCCCAGGCCCCAGCTGAAAGAGGACTCAGTGAGAGTCAAAACAAAACAAAGCAGAAATCAGGAAGTGGTCAAGAAGGAATTTTAAATGTATTCCCTGGAATGTGGTCTAGAAACTCCACTTGCGAGAGGCTGAGGCGGCTAGGATTTTTAGGTCCCCATTCCTCCTGGTTATTAGTTTCAGGGACATGATATTATGGGTAGAGAAGAGGTGAGATCCTGGAGAATAAGGATAGCTTTGAAAAATATCCTTTGCAAAATGTAACTACTTTTTACGTGTTAAATCTGTGCTAAGGCCGCACACAGTCCCTCTGCAGAGAGCAGAACAGGGATGAGCACGGTCTACCCAACTCCAGAGGCTAAAGGGCTTCGAGGCGACTTGGAATTTATATTAAAATAGGAAGGCAACAGGGCTTCCCTGGTGGCGCAGTGGTTAAGAATGCGCCTGCCAATACAGGGGACATGGGTTTCAGCCCTGGTCTGGGAAGAACCCACATGCCACGGAGCAACTAAGCCTGTGCACCACAACTACTGAGCCCGTGTGCTACAACTACTGAAGCTCACACGCCTAGAGCCGGTGCTCTGCAACAAGAGAAGCCACCGCAGTGAGAAGCCCGTGCACCGCAACAAAGACCCAATACAGCCGAAAATTAATTAATTAATTAATTAATTTTAAAAAAGGAAGGCAAGGAGTCAGGAAGGGGTGGAAGGGAAATCTAGGCACAGGAAGAATGGAAAGGGGTGTGGGAAACAAGGGTTACTCCTTGTTTCACCCAGGACCCATCACCTCCCGCCCTGGGGTTACTGCTTCGGTCAAAGCACTTCTGCTGCTAAGGCGCTCCTGGCGGACCCGAATATGGCTGGGGTCTAGGAGAGAAGGCACAGCATGGGCTCTATGTGAGGGGAGGTGATAAGAGTCGGTGAAGGAATATGTAAGGTCAGTGCCTGCCTCAGACTTGTCTTACCTGCTGCCTCTTTGTGCATGATTTAAATGGCTGCTCTCACTAATCACAATCGCCCACAGGTGGAAACAACCCAAATGTCCACCAACCAAAACGTGGTCCATCCATACCATGGAGTATTTCTCAGCCATAAGAAGGAATGAAGTGCTGACACGTGCTACAACATGGACCTTGCAGACATGATGTCAAGGGAAGAAACCAGCCACAAAAGCACAAATATTGCCTGATTCCATTCATATAACATGTCCAGATTAGGCAAATCTACAGAGCTAGCAAGCAGGTTAGTGGTTGCCAGGGATGAGGGAGAGGGGAGAATGGGAGAGACGGCATAATAGGTAAGGGGTTTCCTTTTGGGATGGGAAAAGTGTACAGGAGCTAGAGAGTGGTGACAGTGGCACAACACTATGAATGTCCCTGATGCCACTGAACTGTACACTTTTAAAAGGGTAAAATGGTAAACGTCACATTATGTGTATTTTCCCCCTCCCCCCCCCCCACAGGCAGCTGCAAGGAGTGTGCCAGTTTTCTGAGTGTGTGTGTATGTGTGTGTCCTCACCCAGGTGCAGGCCCAGCTACAGTCTCAAAGGAACATCCCCAACCTCACACCAAGGTCTGCAGGGTGTTAGGGGCATCATCTCCTAAGACCTCTGAGCATGAGAGCCGGGAAACCAGACTTCACTGTCACTGTTTTGAAGCCCCGGTTTGTCCCCTTTGATATCTTGGAATCAAGCAGAGAATCAAGCAGAGAAGGAAGATGAAGGGGTTTACCTGGAGGTGAGGTCTCCCAGGAGGCTAGGAAACACAAAAGCAAACAGGGCTGTGGTGACTCTCCACAGTGGTAACACAACCTTACTTGCCGTTATTCAGAGGCTGGACACGTGCCCGCCATGTTCCTCACTCACAACTTTCAGGATCTTCGCACCCCTAACAGCCAACTCAGCTATTCCTCTACTTGTGATTTCATCTCTTTCTCAAGTGGGTTAGTTAAAAAGAGGAATTACATAGGTTCAAGCCCTAATGTTCAAGAATAAACCTCGGTCCAGAATTTCTCTCTGGGCCACAAAGGTCACGGTGAACTACCTGCTGATCACTTACCTTGACTGCTGCACTCGACCCTGTTTTAGATCCTCTCAGAGAAGATGAAAGAAAACACTATGCACTTTGAGAAACACAGCTACACACACTGTGTTAACGAAATTTGCAGAATCAACCCACGTTCTACTTTGTTGCCCCAACCAAAATTTGGGGAACTCTTCACCTCCTGAGCCCTATGGAATATACACATGGATTTGCTTTGACGGCTGAACTACCGAAGGCTGATCAAGGTACAAGGCCAGAGCCTCTGGCAATGGAATTTGAAAAGGAAAATGAGAAGTCGAGTTTTTCCCTTCTGATAAGATTTTTAAATGGAAAGAAATTGATTTCAAAAAAGATGGGAAACCATTTCCTCAGAACTCTGAGACAGTCATGCTCTTGTATGAAAAGGAGACTCCCCAGTCCTGTGATTGCTCGTTGGGGAGGAAAGGCAGGCCCTTTCCGTCATGGATGGATGCCTCCTGAGAGGCAGGTGAACCAGGATGCCCTGCGAGTTCATTTCACAGCCGCCAGTCTTTTCCAAAGTACAATCAGACGCTCAACTGATTCTCCTGTTTTATATCAGCTTCCATATGTGAGCACAGGCACACCCATTTTTGCCAAGTGGTACCAATAGTGCACGTGTTTCGTAGTCTGCTTTTCTACCTTTTCCCCCGTAATGTTATATCAGGTAGAATTGTGAAACTAGACAAATAGAGTCTCTCTAAAACTCTGCTATGTAATCGATAGAATTTGTGGACTTTTCTTGCTTTCTGTCTCCCAGTCACTCAGGAATGAAATCATTCAGACTACTGACGGCCAAGATAGAGCAGGCAGAGTGCTGGAGCTGGACACTCACCCTGACACCGTGAGCTTCACCTTGATCTGGTAAGACACCAGGATCCCCATGACGGTCTTGTCTATGCCCTCCTTTATGCTGCTCAAACAGAAAAGAAAAACAGAAGAATGCAGGGAGGGGAGAAGCGGGAAGCAAAAACCGGGTGAATCAACCCCACCTCTTCCCACTGCGTCATCCAGGCTCTGCTGTGTCCTCACTGTCTGGGGCGCTGGAAGGCAGCCCTGACGCTGGGTGAAAGGGGGGCTCGGGATTCGGGGTGGGCTTTGCTCTGCCATTAACTGACCCGGTGACCTTGGCTGAAGCTCTCATTCTGGTGGAACCTCAATTTCCTTATCTGTGAAATGAGTATAAATTCACCTTCCTCACAAAAGCATGGAGAGACTGGCATGTTTATAAAATACTCCATGAACCACAAAAGATCTTTACAAACGCAGTGCGCTGCTGTGGATGTCGTGATTCCTTTGCCCTCGAGTTCACGGATCTAGGGCATCAATCTCCCTGCTTGGCCCTCTCCCAGAGCATCACAGATGTGCTTTAGAATCTAACACACCAACTGGCAAATCAACCTCAGAAAATCCTTTGACTCCCAAGATCCTGCTTTCTGCCCAACGTTCGCTGACCCCGCTGTTCGTCTCGGAGCTACGGGGGCAGGGAGGGCAAACGCAAGAGCTCTTCGATGGCATTGCCTGGAGCTGATCGCTGGGGCCTTGGAACACACAGGGGTGGAGGGGGATATGGCAGCGAAGGGCCCGAGCCTGGGTGGCAGCTCCTACCCCAAACCCTCAGGGCTCACCAGCAGACACACCGCTGGAAATGGAAGCCCCGGAGGATGGTGAGGAGTGACAGGGCTATTTGACGTAGAAGCTTCGTTCTAGTTTTTACTAGATCTGCTGGCTCAGTTCGGCCATGGTTCTCTGAGCAGGGTCAGCATATCAGTGCTTATTTTCATTTAAATTGAACTGACCTCTGTAGCCCTCAGGACCTCCTGTTTTTATCTTTCCTGATAGAAATGCATAAACGACCTTTCCATCATTCATGGAGCCAGCTGGGGCACTCAGTTCGTATGCTCAGGGCTCTACACTAGCTAATGATGATTTTGAAGGTAATAGCTGACATTTCTGGAGCACTTACTGTGTGCCAGGCACCACATTTTACATGGACCGTCTCACATAACCCTCAAAACCTCTCTCTGAGGAGCTGTCGCTCCCATACTTTACAGACGGGAAAACTGAGGTTCTCAAGACAGCTCCAGTTATCTGCCCAGGGTGGCCCAGACAGCAAGCAGGGGTGTTGGGGCTCAGCACAAGGTCCAGAGCTGTAGCCACTGTGTCACACCAGGGGTGGGAGTGGGGTCCCTGCTTGGGGCCCCGGGGCCCCGAGCACGTGCTTTGCCACCAGGCTGCGTGTGCAGGCCGCGAGCCCAGGGCTGGGACGAGGAGGGGGCGTAGACCAGCGCCACCGCAGCACTGAGTCTCGGGGCTCACATGGTGCTAGAGGCAAGGTTCGTGTCCTCGTGCTTGATTTTCCCGTCCAGGGCGATGCCCTTTCTCTCGAGGTTGTTAGCCAGCAAGGGCAGCAGGGTCAGCGTCGTGGTCAAGGTGCTGTTTGGTGGTACCTTTTCCCTGCAGGAAGAGACACAGAGAGCAGATTTAGCTGGCTGCTCTTACAGCCTTGAAGCCACCTTCGCCCCCACGAGACCCTGTGTGCCGTCAAGCATTTTCTAGAACCCACGTTCCCTGCGACTCATGGGAAAGACAGTCCAGGTGCCTGTGCCTTTGCCTTGTGAGAAGAACAGCATTAGTGACGTCTCAAAACAGGCTGGCAGCAACGTTAGGACGTTTCTCAACTCCCTCAGCCTGTTCTGATTGCTGAATTTCTAGAATGTCTTGTGGGGTGAAGTGAGACTGGCCCAAGAGTCAGGGACCACACCCAGTCTCCTCCTGAGGCTTCGTGAACCACGCAGTGGGCTGCAGGGCCAACTGGCCAGTGCCAGCAACAAGCCCAGGCTGGGAGTCGTCACTGTCGGGAGGTTTCAGCGTGTGCCCAGGGAGGAGGGGCGCGAGAAGGGCCGGGTCCTCCACTGTGGGCTGTTCAGACTGGGCGGCTCTGTGGGCCTGGGTGCAGCTGGGGGCAGAGCAGCGCGGTCTCCCCAGGCTGGGCAGCATCCCGGCTCACCGAACAGCATCTGAGGCTGGAGAGTTGGCTCTGCCACTCACCCACGTGCTGACCGCTGGCCTGTGCCCACAGCCGCCATGCAGCTGCCTGCCCTCTCCGACCCCAGAGCCCAGGCGAGCCGTGTCCGTGCTCCTGGCACACCCTCTGTCCTTGTGCCCAGCCAGGGCCCTGAAAACACTGTCCAGGAGCCAGCCTCGGGCCCTTTCCCCAGCCTGCTCTGTAACAGACGGGGAGTCCCACTGCCACCCTCGGAACGGGTCCCCTCCTCCATCTCCCTGGGGAGTTGAAGGCGGCTGTGTCTTCTCTGGCCTCCAAGCGCACACAGGAGGCCCCCGGGCATGCAGAACCCTGCTTGAGCCCAAGGTGGCCCACATCCTTGCATCTGGGCCCTGGTAGAACTTCTCTTAATGAGCTTAGTTTGGGCAGCAGAGTGACAGAAGCACCAATTACACTGGAAAGGTAGCTGTAGTAGGAAGGGGCCCCCGGGATGGGGCTTGGACGAAGGCCTTTCCTGCAGCAGCCCTTGCCGAAGGCCTATGCCAAGGCCTGGGGCCAAAGTCCCGCCCGGCCACTTCCCAGCGCCTTTGGGATTGGGACTGGATGGTGGGCAGCAGCTTGGGTGTCAGGTCTGACCTGGTTCCCAGGAGGCCTGCCCACCAGGGCCCCAGACGCCCCACTTTCAACCTCCCTGCCTCCCACCCTTTTGAGGGTATCCGAGGATGGTTCCCAGTTTTCTGGGAGTCCTTGATGCCAAATGTATCCAAGAGCCGTCAAGAGGCCCAGGTAATGGGGTACAGTAGGGGAAAACTCAGCTGGGGACCAGTTTCTCCTATCATTGTTGGGCGCGTGCCAAAAGGTGAGCCAGGAAGACGCCCAGGACATGAGGATGTTCAAGGACACAGCCTAAAAGGTAGAGTAGACCCCAGGCCTGGCCCCAAGGAGACAGTCAGTGAGTTATGGTTCTTTCCTTCCTCTCTCCTCTCTAGACCTATAAGTCAACTTAGGTCAGGATCTGCTTTAAGTAACAGTTTATCCTGAAGTCGCCTTTTAAATATCATGTAATGTTATCTTGCTGAATCAGCTCTCTTTCCTCACCCCGCTCCCCGAACCCTCCTTCCTCTAACTGTGATAATATTTTTTGCATACAACAACGCTTAGAAAAAACACCTTCCCAAGCAATCCTCTCTGGGGGAAGGCATAACCCCCAGAAGCCTGTGTGCCTCATGAACCTGACCGCCTAGCACAAAGCAAAACTGGTTAGATCTCTCGCTCCACCACGAAGAAGCCATCACAGGATTCCCATTTGTTTTTAATATCTTTTTTTTTTTTAATTTATTTGGCTGCGCTGGAACTTAGTTGCGGCACGCAGCATCTTTAGTCGCAGCATGTGAACTATTAGTTGCAGCATGTGGGATCTAGTTCCCCGACCAGGGATCAAACCCGGGCCCCCTGCACTGGGAGCACGGAGTCTTAGCCACTGGACCACCTGGGAAATCCTCCCATTTGTTTTTTACTCTAATGAAGGGAGAAAAGTCACTAACAACAAGTGGCTGAGAACTGATATATCATCCTAATCCAGTTGTCACTGGTATCAGATTTTCAAGTTATGGAGAAGATCAAAAGATAGGGAACCCTTGACTGGGCTGACAGGTCATTTGATTTTCTGCTCTGGGGGCAGAAACAGTATCAAATTCCTACCCACTTATTCAAGGATCAATAGAAAGTTCTAGACATTCCCACTGTGACATTTCAGCCTTTATTTCTCTCCTCTCCATCGTTCCTTAGCTTGACCCAGCTCTCAGAATTCTTGTTAGCGAGCACAGGATCAAGATGCTAACTTTCTTTGCAGTCCTTGAAGTGAGAACAGGGGAAGGAAGTGGAAAGCTGGGGAGCTAGCTGACCATTCTACTTCCGTCTTCAGCGATGACCAAAATGGGAACTTGACCAAGAAGCTGGAGCCGCCCAGGAAATAGAAACCCAACCCACTACTCACTGTGTTTCCTCCATGGCCACCGGCTTGACATAACAATCACTCGAGTAGAGAACCACGTTGGCCACTTGTTCCACTGCAAAGGGGGACAGGGTAGGGTGACTCGGTGCGGAGTCCTGCGTGGTGCCTTCCAGGGGACGTGGTTGGTCTTCCCTAACGGCCATCTGAGTGCACCTCTCAGGCTCGGCTTTAAGGCTGAGATTTCTGTTCTGTCCTCAGGCCACTTCCATTCACCAATAACCTGCTCTGTGTCAACCCTACCCATGAGCCAGTCTCCTAAAACTGCACCTCCTGGGAGACTCATCCTCCCTGCTGAGCTCAGGTCACATCTGTGGGTATCCTTCCAAAACACACAATCTCCCGGTGTCCCAAAACTCACCATGTGCTCTCTTTCCCCAAATACACTCCCTTCCAACCTTCTCTATCTTATTCAGTGAGCATATCCTTCGGGTGTCCAAGCTAGAAACCACGTGGAGGCTGCACAGGGTTGATTTGTGGGTGTAGCATGGTGGATAGGAAGGTGGGCTCTGGGGCCAGACCACTTGGGTTCACATCCCAGCTTAGCCATCTGCTGTGGGGTAATTACTGAGCTCCTCTAAGCCTCAATTTCCCCATAAGCAAAACGAGAATGATAATTGCATCTAACTTATATGGTTGTTGTGATGATTAAAAAGATGATTTTTAATCTCCATTAAAATCAAATTTGAGAATCAGAAAAACAATTTGTGTGAAGCACTCAGCACAGTACTCGACCTATAGAAAGTTCTTAACATCTTGCTTCAGAAATTCAACAGCTTCTTTCAAAAATTAGGGGCTTCGAATGTTAGGATTCATAAAACTTTGAGAAATAATTTAAAATTTAAGTATCAAATGATACTTTCTCAATCCTACTGCTTTGTGGAATCCTGTATTGACACTACATACAACATGCTAAACAAATAATGCCAGGTCCTACAAAGACTTAAAGGCATAGGAACTTAAACCAACATAAAAACAAAGCCATAAAGTAAGCATGTATATTAGCATCAAGAAAAATCTAGAATTTTTTAGTGTGTATGCAGCAAATTCCTGAGTCTTCTCTATGATGGATAAGAGGGAAAGAGGAACGTGGTAGACGGCACTTAGGGTGACCAACCATCCTGGTCTGCCTGGGACTGGCCCCATTTTAGCATTGAAAGTCCTGCGTCCTTGGTCCTGGTCAACCCAGGATGGTTGGTCACCCTAACACACTGTGAGTCTAACTCTGTCTCAGCCATCGAGTGTCTGAGGGAGAAGTGAACAGAGAGGTCTCCCTCCAAGGTCATTTTATCGTGTCTTTTTTACATCACCCATATAAGACCAAGATCTAGGAGCATCTCGTGCACTTTGACGTCCTTTGAGCTGAGGAAGTGTGTAGGACCAGCAAGCGGGAGGCGCATCTCCTGAGTGTTCAGGAGGCTTGGCCATCACATCACGGCGACTCAACAGTAGCAGTGACAGTAGGGATTACCACTTACAAAGCATGTCCGGTGTGATCAATCAGTACCTAACGAAACCTGGGAAGGTAGTCCGGGAACACTGCCGTGGCTGCCCGCTAAATTCCAAGAGGACGTGCACAGCTCGAGCCCACAGGGGAGCCCAGAGTTCCCAGGCCAGGACTCCCCACTACACTGTGCAGAAAGAAAACTCCTCCCGCACTTACCCCGAGACCTGGCACAGGGGCCCCTCAAGGAAGGCGTGACAAGGAAGGACGGGAAGATGCCCTGTCGGGGATGCTGTCCCAGGACAGAAGACAACCCTAAGCTGGGCACGAGGCTACAGGAGAGGATACCTTCCTCCTCTAAGGTCCTGCCGTGTGACGACAGAGACAAACGGGCAGTTCCAAGGCCCCGGGGGGCCTTACTGACCAGAGGAGAGACCCTTGGGAAATATGACTAGATTGGGAACCTGGAAGACTCTGCTGTCCGGGTTTGAGCAGAAGGTCCTACCTAGCACTTTAATCTTCTTCACCGTCTTCTCTGTATTATTGGTCACGGTCACAGTCACAGGAATGGGTTCCCCATGGTAATAGAGCTGAAGAAGTCAGCAGATACGTCAGAAAAGGGGAAGAGAGTGTGGCCATATCTTGTTAAATTCATCTCAGTCCTTTAACTGGAATAAGTGGCTGAATGCCCACACTTTCAAGGAAGACAGGGTGATGGCATCACGTTTCCTGTGGAGAAGGGTCTGGAGCAGGTTCTACCCCCTCTGTGGGAGGCTGAGGCGGATGATGGGGCCTCCGGCCCCAACGCCCGAGTCCTGAGGGTCACTCAGAGTTAGCCCCGGGGGTGTTGAGTGGAATCATGAGGTTATTGGGGGCAGAATAAGTGAAATGAGGGGAAATCAGTGGGGAAGCCCAGAGGTAGAGCTTGCCCAGCAGTGACTCTGTGTGATCTAGCCCAGGTGCTCATGTCCTTGCGCGCACACACACACACACACACACACACACACACACACACACAGTCTGCTGGCAATGTGTGTGCACGACTCTTGTCGACCAGAGACGGCCTTGGCCAGTTTCATCTTTTTCGGCCGTGATTTTCACATATGACATGCTCACTCCCTCACCGTTACTGCCAAACTTAAGTTTGCAGGGAAGTAAACAATTTGTTAACACCACACCCACTGATGACACACTAGTAAAGAGGCCCCTGGGGGCAGACAGGGGGCAAAGACAGCCTGGGCTGGGGGTATGGGAAACCCTCCACCTCCAAGTTGTCGGGACCCACAGTGAGTGGAATGCAAGCCAGTTTGGTCCTATCCTAAGGGTCACGTTTACTGGCTCCAAATTATGAAAAAAGCCAGTCGCCCCAAATGTTGGTGCTTTAACTATCGCTGGCCCCGAGACTGCCTGCAGCACACCCCCAGCAGAGGGCCTGGCAGGCTGTCCCCAGGCCGGCTCCACAGTCACCTCTTTGCTGAGGGCGACGGCGAGCTGCAGGGGCTTGTCGGACATGAAGAACTGCCAGGAGGCCTCCTTTTGCGGCTGGGGACCCATCTCTCGTGGCGCATGCTGTACCTTCCGGATCAGTAAACGCACGGAGCTCCTGTGGATGAAAAGTCACCGATGGTTCCCCGGGTCAGAGCCTGGGCCTCCTCAGGACGGCCTACCAGGTCCCCCTGCCCATCCCCAGGCCGGGATCCCTCAGGGATGCTGCCGATGGATGCAGGATGGACCAGTAGAGGGATCAGGTCTGGGGTCGGGGCCTGGTGGGTGGTGTGGACCAGTCAGCTCTCCAAGGGTCCCTCTCACCCTCTGTTAGGACCCCGGCGTGGCCTCCTCTTGGGTGAAGCTGATGTGGGGATGTGTGCCTATGTGACAGGCTTCAAAACTCTCTACAGATGTGATGCCCTGTTATTGCTGTTTGGTATAAGTGTCCATAGGTGTGAATGTTGAGTATGTAGAGAAAGTGTTGAGGGCACAACTGGAAACCTTGTTCAGGAACAAAAAAATGGGCACCAGAGCCTGAGAGTATAGGAGGAATGGAAGTCACTGCCTAATGGGCACAGAGAGTTTCTGTTTGGGGTGATGACAGCATTTGGGGTATAGATACCTTAGGGTATGGATAGCAGATAGTGGTGTAACTGATTACACAACGTAATGAATGTACTTAATGCCACTGAATTGTACACTTGACAATGGTTAAAATGGTAAACTTCATGTTATGTATATTTTACTGCAACAAAGAAATTACAAAAGAAGAAGAAAACTAAAGAAAGAGGGGATCTGGAGGCTTTTAAGGACTTACATGAGCCCTTGAGGTTGCCAACTCCCCTGTCATTTTCTTTTGTTTTTTTTCTCCCAAATGGTCAGCCATTGTCCCCCACCCCATGTGGAGATGGTTCATCCTGACGGTCCTGACCTGGGGAGGCTCCATTACCCCACCACAATGGCCCTGTGGGAAGATTCTGCCACTGGGACATAAAGTGAGGGGTGGTCTCTTATCCCCAGCCCTTCCCCACACCCTCACATATTCCCACAGCTACACTCTTACTTCTTGGGAATTTTGTCCTCTTCCGTATCTGTGCCTTGTGTGGCAAAGGCTTTGACCTCGAAGTCGACCCCACAGCACTGCAGGGGCAAGAGAACAGACAGGGCTGCGGTCAGCACCTCCCTTCCGGGAGCCAGGATGGGGGTCACAGCTCCCGCAGGGGATGTTACGTGGCTACTTCTTTTTCTGTCTTGGCCATATCCTTTTCGGAGTTGCACCATTATGACTAGCTTTGGAAGTGTGCTAGTGATGAAATAGTGGCATTTGCTCGAGGAGAGCGCCACGGGCTCCAAGGCCCCAGTGAAGGTCCCCCAGCCAGCAGGATGAGCCCCGCCAGTAGCTGCAGAGCATGGTCCTAGCCTCTCACCACCTTGCACGGCGGCCAGCCCATCCCCCATTTAGCTGTCCTTCTCAGAAGTGACCCTGTGTGCGTGTAACTGATGGTCCACTGCCTACAGCAGGGGCGGGAGCAGTGGTCACAGGGCTGGCAGGGGTCCGTGGCCGCCTGTGCTGGGGCTCCAGTGCCCTACGCCAGCGGGCAGCTGCTCTGCCGCTGCAGCCAGGCGTGGCCAGGCTGCCACGGGGACCCGGTGCTGGCAGCTCTCCCAACTTTTGAAAAGAAGCTGGAAATAGAATTTGGAATGAAGGTTCCTTATTTTTAAATTAACTAGATTAAAAAATGTTGCATGGATGGAACAAATGCATCTGCGGGCCCCTTCAGCCCCCAGCCCCAGAGTGAATCCCCCGTGACCTCGTTCCTCTGTTGTGTTAACATGAGGTGTGCGGGGCAGGGGTGAGGGCACAGAGGCCGGGGATGGGCCCTCCACCAGCTGCCCACAGAGTGACAGTAGCGCATAAGCCACAGTCTTACTGGTTCTGCAAAACTGTGGAATCGCAACAACTCTAAAACCTGGGTTGAAAATAAATACACATCGTTACGCTCCAGCACCTGGAGCTCTTGGCCACGCCTCCTCTCTGCTCAGCCCCCTCCACCCCCACCTCCTGCTGCCCCCTGCAGAAGCCAAGCCCTTCCACCTGTCTACCCTGGGCACGTGCTGTTCCTTCCTTCTGAAATGCTTGACGCCTCTCTCTCCTTTTATACTAGCCCAGTTCCCAGGCCTCCTCAGCTGTGAGGCCCACAGGGCCCCTGCTGCACTGATGTCTCCTCCCCAGGGACAGAGGGGAGGGTGGCCCTCTGGCTGGTATAGTGTCCCCCACTCTGATTGAGTGGCCTTCTCCACCTTCCCGCCCACATCCCTGTTTTCCTGGCCCGGTGGCTTTCAAAGGTTTCAGGCCACCGCCCATGGTAAGTAGGAAAGTTCACTGCGAGGCCCGGTAAACAGATGCTCACACGTGAAGCAATGCTCGTGAACTAGCGCTTATCTACGCTGTGTGCGATGTGCTCTGAGCTCCCATGCTGTTCCACTTCATGCCATTCCATTTTCTTTCTTCAATGCCATCTCGGATCCACCGCACCGGTTTCACAAACCACTAATGGGGTAGGACCCCCAAGTTGAAAATCATGGCCCTGGACCCTCGGTAATCCAGGTACCGATCTGCCATTCTCAGCCCTCATTTGCTGTCTTTTTATTTTCCAGCTTCTTCCCTCGTGACTCCCTCAGGCCTGTAGTCCCTGGGCCCCAGCACCTTTTCCTCTCTCCTCGTGTCCGCACTGCCCTCCCTCCCTGCCTAGAGTCCCCAGTCCACCGGGGTCACAGCTCTCTTGCACACACGGCCCCTTTGCTTCTCGCCTTTCAGAGCTCAACCCCACTCTTAGCTCAGTGGCCAGAGGGATCCTCTACAAACCCAAGTCAGAACCTTCTGTGTGTGGGGGGGGGAGGGATAAATCGGGAGATTGGGACTGACATATACACACTACTATATATAAAATAGGTAACTAATAAGGACCTACTGTACAGCACAGGCAACTCTACTCAGTACTCTGTCATGGATATATGTATATGGATAACTGATTCACTTTGCAGTACAGCAGAAACTAACATGTTGTAAATCAGCAATATTCCAATAAAAATTAAAAAAAAAAAAAAAAAAGAACCTACTGTGCAGAGCCCGCCAGTGGCTCCCATCTCGCTCAGAGAAAGTCCCAGTCCATGAAACATGTACGAGGCCCTTCCTGACCTGGCCGCACCTCCCGCCCCTCTCAGACCTGCCCCCACCCTTCACCCCAGCTCCGCCTGCTCTCCAAGCAGCACCCACTGTGCATGGTGCGCCCGCCCACCTGGATGGCTCTCCCGAGGCTGGAGTGGCCCCTCCTTTGCCCCATCAGAGAGGCCTTCCCTAAGCTCCCCGGACAAGCACCACCAGGTCCTCCCTTAGCTCTCCGAGCCTCTTGTTCTCCATGGATGGGCTGCAGAGGGACTTGCTATTTGGTTTTTGTCTGCTTCTCTCCCCAAGTGAGACCCACGAGGGGAGAGACCTACTATTTCGCTCACAGGGCTGCTCATGGTTAGGAATTGCTGAAGACAAGTGATACGCTCATTATACTGTCTCTCTACTTTTGCATATGTCTGCAATTTCCCACAGTAAAAGCCCGTGCGCCACAACTACTGAGGCCACGTGCCACAACTACTGAGCCTGTGTGCCACAGCTACTGAAGCCCGTGCACCTAGATCCCGTGCTCCACAACAAGAGAAGCCACCGCAATGAGAAGCCCGCGCACTCCAACGAAGAGTAGCCCCCGCTCGCCACGACTAGAGAAAGCCTGCGTGCAGCAACGAAGACCCAACGCAGCCAAAAAAAAAAAAAAGAAAAAGTCTTTTGAAGGAATGAATGAATCCCTGGCATTTCTTCTGGAACCAACCTTGTCCACATCTTGTGGAGCTGGCTGCAGCATCACCGAACAGGGCAAGTAGTCAGGAAACTGTGGAAAGAAACAACAGATCATTTCTTTCAGAGAATGTTATTCCACGTGTGTTCTACCTTCATCGCACAAAAATTGAAGAATGGGGGCTTCCCTGGTGGCGCAGTGGTTGAGAGTCCGCCTGCCGATGCAGGGGACACGGGTTCGTGCCCTGGTCTGGGAAGATCCCACATGCCGCGGAGCGGCTGGGCCCGTGAGCCATGGCCGCTGAGCCTGCGCATCCGGAGCCTGTGCTCCGCAACGGGAGAGACCGCAACAGTGAGAGGCCCGCGTACCACAAAAAACGAAACAAACAAACAAACAAAAAAAATTGAAGAATGAAGATGAGGAGCAAGAAAAAGGGAAACATCTTCACGTCTGTTCCCAACAGCCGGAGTGGCGTGAACACAGCCTCCCGAGGGTCCCAGGTCAGCCTCACACAAACACGTATGTGCCTGTCTAGTTTTACAGAAATGAGACAAGTGATGCACGTGTCCTGCAGTCTAGTTTGCTCCCATCACTGCTCCTAACCCTGCTCAGGATGAGTGTGACCATTTTCAATGCTGGGAGATGTAGTTCTGCGCCACCATTTTTAAGGGTCCAGTAACACCGCTTTTTATTTTTTTTGGCCCTGCCGCATGGCTTGCCGGGATCTTAGTTCCCCAACCAGGGACTGAACCTGGGCCCTTGGCAGTGAGAGAGCAGAGTCCTAAACACTGGAGCACCAGGGAATTCCCCCGTGACACCACATTGAATTCAGCCCATTTCCTTTGTTGGCTGCCCTCCATCAAGTGGCCTTTACTTTGTTGCCATTGTCACCAAGGCTGCATAAACATCCTTCAGCCACCTTAGCACAGTTTTAGTCCATTCACTCCATAGGCTACACTATTAGAAAGGGAACGGTCAGGTCGAAATCACATTTTTAAGGTTTTGATACATGTTGACATGTTATCTCCAAAAGGTTCTGTCACTTCAAACTCCCAGTCCCAGCACATGGGAGCACCCAGGACCACAAAACTTTAAGTGATTTTTTTTTTAAAGCTGTTATAAAATATACCTAACATAGAGACTCCCCTGGTGGTCCAGTGGTTAAGACTCCATGCTCCCAATGCAGGGGGCACAGGTCCCATCCCTGGTCAGGGAACTAAGATCCTGCATCCCACATGTTGCATAGCATGGCCAAAAAAAAAAGAAAAAAAAAATATATATCCATCCCTAAATAAAACTTACTATTTTAAGTGTACAGTTCAGTGGCATTGAGCACGTTCCCATTGTCCTGCAATGATCCCCACCACCCATTTCCAGAACGTTTTCATCACCCCAAACTGAAGCTCTGCACCCATTAAACATTAACCCAATTCCATCCTCCCCCATTCCCTGGAGACCACCATTCTACTTCCTGTCTCTACGAACTCCTCTGGGTCCCTCATATAAGTGAAATCACAGAGTATTTGTCCTTATGTGGCTGGCTTATTTCACTTAGCATAATGTTTCCAAGGTTCATTCATGTTGTAGCTTGTGTCAGAATTTCCTGCCTTTTTAAGCCTGAACCATATAACTTTGGAGGAATATATAATCTTAAGACCCATGAACACACGAGTGAAGAGGGTGACAGCAGCTACCCCGACAGTGAGCTCAGGCCCAAGTCTTCAGAGGCAGGAACGCTGGCTCCGTGGTAGCCAGGTTCCATCAGGGGAGACTCAGGCCACGAGAGGGGCGAAGGGCTTTCTCTACAGTGACCCACTGAGCTCTGGTCAAGGCTACAGAGGATGACTCATTTCACTAAGGTCTCCTGTCTGGCAGGGACTCCTTCCTGCTTAGAAACTCCTTGAGGCAACCGAGGGGCACTTCTTTCTTTTTATAGCCGAGCAAGTGAAGGCATAACATGCACATATAATTAGGTGGTCGGATGCAGGCAAATATTTAAACCGTAGGTTGAAACGGTGCCTTCCAAGGCCGGGAGGCTGTTTTCAAGGACTTAAAAAAAGACAATCACAGCCCGTGCAATCTAGAATTTCCTCCAAGGGTGCAATTTGCAGGCCCGCAAATGTGACGTCATTACTCTGGCCCCTTGCCTTCGCTGCTGATCCCATCATAAGGTGTGGTGGGTGAAGGAAGCCGTGCGAGGAAGTGGAGGGTCGAGTCGTCACCCACCTTGAGCAGGAAGGGGTACGTGTGCTCCCCTAGCTTCTTGATCAGGCTCTCCTGTAGCTTCGTGAGGGTTTCCGAGGCCCCCACAGGAGGGAACAGCTGGACCTGGGAGAAGTACAGGTCCCTGCGGAACTTCAGGCCGATCACATCGATGTCTTCCTGGCCGTACCGGAAGGCGCAGGTCAGGGAGACATACACTGGAAGGGAGACAAGAGGGGGTAGGCTTGCCCCGTTGGCGGGCTTGGCACCCCTGCCTGGGCTGACACTGCCTACCAGTCTCAACATCCCACCTTCAGCATCTCAGTAAGGACCTGAGAACATTACTACCCAGCTGGCCCTTCCCTCTGGCTTGCGTCAATGACTCGAAAGGGCCAGTGTCTGAGTGCTGGGAGGCTCCTCCCATGAGCCACATTATTTAGCCTCCTGCCTCTACTGTTTCCCTCATTCTCCCACCCCCTCCTCTTGATGTACCAGTTCAGTGAACTCAGGAGGCTTTTAAACAGTGTGAGGTCGCTTGGGTTCTGAGGGCGGAAGGTCTGGATGGAGTTGAGAGCGAAGGTAAGAAGCAGAGGAAGGGCTTCCCTGGTGGCGCAGTGGTTAAGAATCTGCCTGCCAGTGCAGGGGACACAGGTTTGAGCCCTGGTCCGGGAAGATCCCACGTGCCATGGAGCAACTAAGCCCGTGCGCCGCAACTACTGGGCCTGCACTCTAGAGCCCACGAGCCACAACTACTGAAGCCTGTGCGCCTAGAGCCTGTGCCCTGAAACAAGAGAAGCCACTGCAGTGAGAAGCCCACGCACCGCAACGAAGAGCAGCCCCCACTCGTGGCAACTAGAGAGAAAGCCCGTGCGCAGCAACGAAGACCCAGCACAGCCCAAAATAAATAAATTAATTTATTTAAAAAAAAAAAGAAAAGCAGAGGGAAACCGTGCTAGAGAGTAAAACAGACGAGTGCCTGAGCTGGACGGGGCCTCGAGGGAACTGAGCAGGGGCTCAGGGACCAGGTGGAGCGGTGAAACCAACTCCGAGAGGAAGCCTTCTTTTCACACTGCTCAGAAACTTAATTGAGCTTTCTCTAAATCAATCAGCGCTTCTGAAAATTCACTGTGGTTAAACAGATGTAAATTGTGCCCCCAGTGGACCAAAAGAATTATATGAAACTACACATGTTTTGAGGATGGACTGTTTACAACTGTCCTTAATGTGGTAAATAAAACCACACGAAGTGGTCCCCCCAAGTCCTTGGTAGCTGTTGGTTGAGGATTTTGTCTGTGTCTGCCTCAAGAGTAATTGTCCCTCGGCGCTAAGCTCAGAAGAGCCACTGATCATTTGCTTATCCCTCATTCAACGTTTGTAAGAGGAAGGTGCCCAGAGATGACCTGGTTTTATGCCTCCCTCTCCAGGCAGCGCGTTCCTGGCCAAGGGCATGGGCTGTAGGGGCTGGAACTGGGCTCCGCCTGGTGTAAGAGAGGAGCAGAGTACCCAGGAGGAAGCTGGAGACAGCAGAGGGGGGCGATTTTCAGCCTGTTTCTGCCACGTCCCCTGGATGCTGTGGGCCCTACATCTGACATACTCCATGGGCACGTCCAGGGTTAGGAACAATTCCTTGTTGGGTGCTGGTAGCTACCACTCTAAAAGGCATATTTAGAATGGAACTGAGTCAGTGACATTATCATAAGGATAACTTGGTTCCAATTTAGTTTACACGACTGGTTTTTGTTTGTTTGTTTTTGACATGCCACATGGCACGGCTTATGGGATTTTAGTTCCCTGACGAGGGATCAAACCCAGGGCCCCGGCAATGAGAGCACCGAGTCCTAACCACTCGACCGCCAGGGAACTCCCTACACAACTGTTATTAGTACCAAATTGCTTGCCACACATCGCAACTGCCAGATATCTTTGACGGGGCTGTGCTGCCGTGGTCCAGAACACCAGGCTCAGCATAAAAACCCTGCCTTCCCGCAGCCTCAATTCCCCGCTTTTCGTATAAACCCAGAAAGGAGCCCTCTTGAGTCTGCCCTGACATAGAACGGCAGGACACGGGGCAAGCAGGCAGTCCGCAGAGCCTGCAGACTGGGGCTCCGGGCTCTGTCTGCCGTTCCTTATCCTGCCACCTCTGACAAGTGGCTTCCCCGAGTCTTCACCTCCATCTGGAAGATGCGGACAGTGAGCTCTGGTGGGAACAGGGCCCGTGTCCTGAGGATCGTATGAGGGAATGTGGGTGCAAGGGCCTGGCAGAGAGAATGGGTGTGCCAGAGCTTCCCCGCCCCTCCTTGCACACACACGCCCCCTTCCCGCAGCCAGACCACCGCTCCCTGGAGGACGACGAGCTCTGCCTCACCTCTCTTTCCCTTCACAAGCTCAGGATCCACCAGCACGACACCATCTAAACCAAAAGAGAGAGAAGAGTGAGGGTGGCGGATGTGAAAGAGACTGGAAGCTTCTTGAAGTGTGTGTGTATACATATATATATCACACGTAATCCATATTCATTACAGGAAAACTAGAAAGGGAAGCTAAGCAAAGAGAAAACAAAGCCACCTCCACTTGAGATACCCAGAGATACCCATTGTCAACATATCGGTACAGAATGATTTTCCAGATGTATATACATTTTTTTTAATATTCTTTTTTTATGTATATTTTTATTTTTTTGGCTGTGTTGGGTCCTCGTTTCTGTGTGAGGGCTTTCTCTAGTTGTGGCAAGTGGCGGCCACTCTTCATCGCGGTGCGCGGGCCTCTCACTATCGCGGCCTCTCTTGTTGCGGAGCACAGGCTCCAGACGCGCAGGCTCAGCAGTTGTGGCGCACAGGCTTAGCTGCTCCACGGCGTGTGGGATCTCCCCAGACCAGGGCTCGAACCCATGTCCCCTGCATTGGCAGACAGATTCTCAACCACTGGGCCACCAGGGAAGCCCTCCAGATGTATATACATTTATATGAATGTTTTTTTTATATATGTTGTTAACTGCTTTCCTCATTCAACTATATATTGAAAACACATATTCATACTAGTCATACATACACACACACATATAATGTGTACTAATCTTTTTTTAAAATTTTATTTATTGATTGATTTTTGGCTGCGTTGGGTCTTCATTGCTGTGCACGGGCTTTCTCTAGTTGCGGCAAGCAGGGGCTCTACTTTGTTGCGGTGCGTGGGCTTCTTATTGCTGTGGCTTCTCTTGTTGCGGAGCATGGGCTCTAGGCACGTGGGCTTCAGTAGTTGCAGCACGTGGGCTCAGTAGTTGTGGCTCATGGGCTCTAGAACGCAGGCTCAGTGTTTGTGGCACACGGGCTTAGTCGCTCCGTGGCATGTGGGATCTTCCCGAACCAGGGATCGAACCTGTGTCCCCTGCATTGGCAGGCAGATTCTTAACCACTGCGCCACCGGGGAAGTCCCATGTACGAATCATTTTAATGGCCACACATTTGCTCCATTGACCAGGGGCACCATAAATTATTTAATCAACCCCCTGTTGTTAGGGCATTTAGGATGTTTCTGATTTTCCCCATTATAATTAATATTGCAGTGAACACGCTTATAGATAAATCTCTATCCACGGCAGAATTGAATTTGGCTTTTGATAACATACTGCCAAATGACCTTCTAGAAAGTGTTTTGCCAAAGGACATTCTCATCCTAGTGCCTAAAAATGCCAGTCTTTTACACTCTTTTTTTAAAAAAAGAACAATTTGAGTTGAAGTAATTATAGATTCACAGGAATTTACAAAGATAGTACAGAGAGGTCCCCAGGTATCCTTTATCCAGTTTCTTCCAATGGTTACATCTTAGATAATGACAGTACAATCTCAAAACCAGGAGGTTGACATGGGTACAATGTGTGTATGGTTCTAAGTCATATTATCAAATGGAGATTTGTGTACCACCACTGCGATCTGGATACAGAACTGTTCCCTCACCATAAAGATCTCCCTCTTGGGCTATCCCTTTGTAGTCACGCCCAGCTGCCTCTCCCCACCATCCTTAGCCCTCAGCAACCACTGTTCAGTTTTCCTTTTCTATAACATTGTCATGTCTAAGATGTTATATGAATGGAATCATACAGTACATGGCCTCTTGAGATTGGCTTTTTCCACTCATTACAGTATCCTTGAGACCCACAAGCTGTTGCATGGATTGGTAGTTCAATCTTTTTCACTGCTGAGTAGTGTTCCAAGGCATGGATGTGCCCCAGCTTGTTTACTCTTATTCACCTACTGGAGACATTTAGGTTCTTTCCAGTTTGGAGCTATTACAAACAAAGCTGCTGTGAACAGTCACGTACAAGTTTTGTGTGGACGTAAGTTTTCATTTCTCTGGGATAAATGTCCAGGAATGCAACTGCTGGGTCACATGAGAAGTGGATGTGTAGCTTTTAAAGAAGCTGCCAAACTGTTTTCCAGAGTGGCTGCTCCACTTTACATTCCCATTCCCACGAGCAAGGCACGAGTGATACAGTTTCTCTACATCCTTGCCAGTGTTTGGTATGGTCACTATTTTTAATTTTAGCCATTCTGACAGGCATATAATGATATTTCATTGTGGTTTTAATTTGCATTTCCCTAACAACTAATGTTGTTGAACATTTTTCTTTTCTTTTTTTTTTTTAGAAATGAAATCAGGTCTTTTTTTTTTCTTTGGCTGCGCTGGGTCTTCGTTGCTGCACGCGGGCTTTCTCTAGTTGCGGTGAGCGGGGGCTACTCTTCATTGTAGTGCATGGGCTTCTCATCGCTGTGTCTTCTCTTGCTATGGAGCATGGGCTCTAGGCGTGCAGGCTTCAGTAGTTGTGGTTCGTGGGCCCTAGAGCGCAGGCTCAGTAGTTGTGGTGCACGGGCTTTGTTGCTCTGTGGCATGTGGGATCTTCCCGGACCAGGGCTTGAACCCGTGTCCCCTGCATTGGCAGGCGGATTCTTAACCACTGTGCCACCAGGGAAGTCCTGAACATTTTTCTTTTTTGTTGTTGTTGTTGTTGTTGAACACTCTTCTATGTGCTCATTTGCCACCTATATATTTTCTTTAATGAAATGCCTTTTCATGTTGTTTGTCTATTTTCTAATTGGATTTTTTTTTTAACTGGTGAGTTTTGAATGTTCTTTATCTAGAAATGAGTCCTTTGTCTCATTTAAATTTGTCTCCAATCAGCCAGTGGCACCTTGATGATGTTTTAATTTGCATTTCTTTGATTAGATTATTAATGAAGTCAATTTAAATAACACAAAACTAGTGGTTGTCTGATGACTTAAAGGAAAACCAGCGTTAAAATCTCACCCCAGGAGACTTCCACGGCGGTCCAGTGGTTAAGACTCTGCGCATCCACTGCAGGGGCCATGGGTTCGATCCCTGGCCGGGGAACTAAGATCCCGCATGCCACGCGGCACGACCAATAAATAAATAAATTAATTAAAAAAAAAAAAACTCACCCCAAACTCAACTTACCCACAGGCTCTACTTGGTCAACATGGTCTATATAGTCTCTCTTCCCCAAGTAGATGGTCACCTGTGGGGAGAACAGGTATGGATTCTAAATGGCCAAAGGACACTAAGGTTTCATGTTAAAAATCAGTAGCAACCAATAAAAATAAATAAATAAAAATTAGGAACAACCAAAACATTTTGACCAGTCCTGAGAAGAGGAGCGGCCTGGCTCTGCAGCTTGTCCACAACCTCCTCTCTCCCTGCTTGGCTGTAGGCAGACATAGTGGATTGCAGGCAAGCTGTGATCCTTCCTCAACTCATAAAGTGCTCCAAGGAATTCTTCCCACCCCTTGGATAGCTCCCCGTTCTCCCCACCTTTTCCCATCAAGCCCAGGTCTGATATCAACCAGGTAAACTTGTTGAATTCATTGATGATACTTTAGTGGAAAGTTACGCCTATGCATATGAGGCGCCTGTCAGCTATTTGCATGTTAAGCCTTTTATTTCTAGCTGTGAATGAAAGGTTTCTCCTCCTTGTTAGAAGAATTTCTGATTAAGAGGCAGATGTTCTGGAGTCCCTGAAATCCTCTCAGGTGAGCATCTGTACAGATAAACCTGAACCCATGCCCTGAAGAATGGGGGAAGGGGTCCTGGATGGGAAGAGATGACCATGTCTCAGTCCTTGTCCTATCTGTTTCAATGCCCCTGGCAGCAAAGGTCTCTTTACCAACCCCCTTTGTGGGAGAGCATGGGTTGGGTTCACCACCACTCACCACTTTAACCCACAGCACTGTGACTGCCGTGATGGTAAGAATTCTCTTATTCATCTTTCAGCCATCACAGTATCTAGTATAGTATCTGGTACATACAGGAATTAAATCAACATTTGCTAAGTACGCCAATGAGTGAGTGCATAGACCCTGGCTAGCCTCCTTCTTCCCTAAGCCTCTGAAACTCATATTTTTATTTCCAAGAACACTCAAGATAGTTTTTGTTGGCATTGTATCATCTCCTGTATCTGCCCCCTCATGGCCGTATCCTGGAGTGGATCTCTATGGCTTCCAGGTTATTTGCGTTATTGATGTTGAAGCACCTGAAGGACAGCATAGACAGGTGATCGGGATGGGGGCGGGGAGTTAGATGGTGAAAGGATGCTTTCTGGGCAAAACAATTCAGTGTGTACAAAGCCCAGAGCCAAGAGAATGCTTCTGGAACTGCCAATGGTTTCATCTGTGGGTGAATGGCCTCCAAATGGGCATGCAAGCTGATGCCAGAAAGGGTCTTATAGGACCGGACCCTAAAGAATCTAGGAGGACATGGAAGCATTTGAAGCAGGATGAAAGGCCTGCAATTAAACGGCATGTAGTGATTGTCATGTACCAGGCGCCAAGCTAAGTACACTGACTACATTATTTCACTTAATCCTCACAACTACTCTTTGAGCTAGGGATTACGCCCATTTTATAGAGAACACTGAGACTTTGGTTGCATTGGCAGCAAAAGGGAAAGCTGATAGTGGTCTGGAGGAGGGAGCACTGAGAGTGAACGGAAGAGAGAAGGTGGCTGGAGAGCACATGTCTTCTTTTTCAAGCTTTGGCTGTGAAGGAAGGAGAGCTAGAAAGGGGACGGGGTCAAGAGGGAGTTTGTTGCTCTTGTTGCTGTTGTTGCTGTTTTTAAGATGCATGAGGTGGGTACTTGTTGTCATGCTCAGGCCAAGTACTGGTAGAGAGGGAGAGGCTGCACATAGCCCCAGAGGGAGGCTGATGGTGGAGGACCCTAAGAAGGTGGTGGACCATGACCCAGGCTGTAAGCAGTATGAACCTCCATGGAAGAAATAGCACCTCTTCTGCTGCAATTGGAAGAGGAGAGAAGAGACAGGAGCAGGTAGAGAAGTGGGGCTGGATGATGTGAGGCTGCAGCCCACCTGCTGCTTGCAAACCCCATAGCCACGTGCCCCATCTTCCTGGATAAAAGTCATCAACTGTAGGGAGTCCCCTGGTGGTCTAGTGGTTAGGATTCCGGGCTTTCACTTCCGCGGCCTGGGTTCAATCCCTGATCGGGCGGAGAAGTGAGATCCCACAAGCCACAGGGTGAGGCCAAAAGAAAAAAAGAAGAAAAGTCACCAATTGTGTCCAGGGTCCCATGTGGTTGTATAGTAAGAGGAGACCACCCCAGAGGATGATTCGTTTTCCTTTTTTCCCCCAGTTTTATTGAGATATAATTGACATATTGTATAAGTTTAAGGTGTACAACATAACGATGTATGTATAAATTGAAAAGCAATAACCACAATAAATTTAGTTAACATCCATCACAGAGGAGGATTCTTTTTTTTTTTTTTTTTGCGGTACGCGGGCCTCTCACTGTTGTGGCCTCTCCCGTTGCGGAGCACAGGCTCCGGACGTGCAGGCTCAGCGGCCATGGCTCATGGGCCCAGCCGCTCCGCGGCACGTGGGATCCTCCCGGACTGGGGCGCGACCCCGCGTCCCCTGCATCGGCAGGCGGACTCTCAACCACTGCGCCACCAGGGAAGCCCGAGGATGATTCTTGATTGGCCAGATCCTATTCTTTTGGCTCGGGATGGCTTTAAGGTGGGCATGTGACCCAGTTTTGACCAATGAGATATGAGAGAAGTCTGCTGGAGAAATATAACCTCACCCTTAAGAGACCCCAGGAAGCAACAGCCTTTTCCTTCTTCTAGAAGAAAGTGAGGGTAAGGCACCTGAAGCTGGGGCAGCCGTCTTGCCACCAGCCAGAGGATGAAGATCACCAAAGACGGACGAGTGGAAAGACTCACAGAGAGACACAGCCAGGGCCCTGGCACCCACACCTGCAGCCAGGCAAAACCTGCCACTGAAATGATCCTAATATGTGACACGTTAACTGATGAATTATGTTTTCCTCCTATATATAAAAGTTCTAAATTTCCCAGGTCAAAGATGTCTATCTGGATGTGAGGAAGAAAAAAGTGAGAAAATGATATGGCCCAGCAGGAGTGTTTTCTTTCTTCTTTTGCCAGAAGACAAGATAAAGTACACTGGAAAGACACAAGTTGGAAGAGAGTCAGGAGGATGAAAGTTTGAGGGGCACCCAACTTGTCTCCCCAAAGAATCAGAGGACTTGATGAAAATGATGGAGATCCTCAGCGAGGGAGAAGAGAGGTAGGGAGTGTCCGTGCAAAGCCCGATTCTCTCGTGAGGCGCAAAAGCATCGGAGAGTTCCTTTCGGGCGCAGTATGTACAGGCTTCAGAAGTCAACTAGAAGAATGACCTAGAATCACATTGTCCAATACGACAGCTACTAGCTCCAGGTGGCCACCAGCACTTGAATATGGCCACTCCAAGCTGACGTGCTATAAATGTAGAACACACATCAGGTTTGAACAACTTAGAAAACGAAGGTAAAATACGTTGTTAATAATTTTTATATCATTTACATGTTGAAATGATAGTTTTTTGGATATATTGGGTTAAATAAAATATAGTATTAAAATGAATTCCCCGTTTCTTCTTACTTTTTTAACATGGCTACTAGAAAGTTTTAAATTAGATATGTGGCTTGCTTTGGATGGTGCTGAACTAGATTATGAGCCCCTAAGAATCCAGAGTGGAGCGAGGAGATCCCATCCTCGGAGGCTGTGGGGTGGGCTCTCCATAGGGTGTCCCAGGCTAGGAAGTTCACAGGCACATCTAGACTATCTAACGTGCCCCCGATGGAGCCAGCAATGGCATCATCCCTGCCGAATATGCGGAGTGCCAGGATATTGGGTGGCCATGCAGCCACCGTGCAGAGGGGCAGAAAGGGAGCAGCGAGAGATGCTCCCTTATCCACTGGCCCTGGAGGCCCAGCAAGGTTTGAGAGCATGGCAGCTGGGGTGGGTGACAGAAGGTAGAGAGTTGCATTGATCCATTGATCCAGCATCAGGGCTTTCACCAGGCAGTTAGGTGAGATGATAGAGAAAGGGTCAAGGAAGTTATAGATACTGACCGACCAATGTTTGAAATGGTTAAGTCATGGGTTCAAGGCTAGGAAAAGAGGTAAAACTGGGGTCGAGGGGTTGGGGACTGAGAGATTAGGAGAAAATTAAGGGTCTTGGGACTAAAGTCTTGTTGAGATCAAAGAGAATTTATATTTCTGCAATTTACTCATTCATTTGTATCTCATTTATCATCCATCTCAGACAGAGATGGAAAATAGACATAGAGCTTCCATTCACCTCATAAGATTTTGATGTTGATTATGTCTATTCGAAAAAGTTCCTTTTAAAAAAAAAAAGATTACTACTAAGCCCCTCACCTCTGTACTACTTACCGATTTGTCCCGGGAGATCTTCTTGAAGATGACGTGGTTTGGTGTAGACTTACTGTCCTGCGCGTTAGCCTCCATGTTACCTGTCCCTGGCAGTTTCTTCCCTTTGGGGTGTTGTGTCAGGTTTTAGAGGGCTAGGAAAAGGTAAAATCATCTTAAATATAAAGTCAGGAACATTCTGTGAATAAAACCCATACATGAGATGCTGTACATCCATCAGACATTTCCTTCTACCTGCCTCAGTACCCACATTTGACTAAATAAGGCCTTCGTCTAGTTTGTATTTTACTAGAGTGTGTTTTTTTTGTTTAAAGGTGTTTTATTTTTCCTGATAAGCCTCAGACATTTCTTAGCAAAGCTCACCAGGACGTCCAGATAGATTCCAGTGAGAAGGTTTTACTTTGAGACTAAGCCTTGGTATCGTCACATTAAGCCAGACGGAATTTAAAATTCTATCTTGACGATCTATTACGGCAATTAAAATAGAAAAAGTCCCTGCAAACCACAGCATAACCACTTCACGAATATCATTTTAAAAATACGTTAAATCCCCAAAAGTTTTGCTCAGCAATTCACACTAAGCAGTGCTTTCCCTTTCCTGCCGTCTCTCACCACTCCCCAGCTTTCCCCACAACAAAGAGGCCATCGGAGCTGTCTGGAATTCAGTGCGCTCCTTAACAAGCAACGTCCATGAAAACTACACAGAAAAGGTGAAACTGGGACAGACTGACTACACGAAAATGTCAGTCTTCCTGGCGCTGGCTCTTCCCTGCGCCCTGCCCTGAGTTTCTGAGAAGGCTTGTTCGAGGGTGACCACATACCTTGGGCAACCAGCTGGGACGGTCCCAGGAGGTGAGGAGAGGGTCTCTGTGTCCTCCGGGGTGAGCAGGCAGCTAGCCCTTGCTCTGTCTAAACAGATGACCCCACTTGGGCCCTGGCTGACTGTGTGGGGAATTTGTAGGGAATCTGGAGAGGGTGCCCACACCCAGGTCTTAATGTCTAGAAGCCAAATCCCATTTAAGGAGTAGAGTGGCAACTGGATTAGTGCTGAGACGGGAGAAATGGTAGTTTCAGCAGTTCAAAGCATTAGACAAGGGCCCAGAGGGGCTCCCAGTGCAGGAGCTGTCAAGCTTGAGTGGGGAAGGTTTGGGGGAGGGATGACAGCTAAATGAAAGCTCTTTTATCTTAATCCACTTTGGGTTCTGGAAATAGACTGATTATCCCTTCACTCCTGGTTTCACCAGGAGAAGGGATTTTCAAGAGCTCAACCAAATTGATTAAACTCAGCAGGCAGCTAAGGCAACCTTGGGGGTGGGGATATAAACAAAAAGGTCAAGGAGAAATGTCAGCCTCAAGATAAACCCTGGTGTTATGCAAGCCAAACAAGTCATGTCCCTCTCCTCTACCCTATGTGCTATTGATTACATCACGAGTCCTGTCAGTTTGCCCCCAGTGTCTCCAGAATCTTAGTCTCCCATCCCCAGCGCTCCCTCTTGAGTCCATACCAGCCCCTTTGTTTTCCTGGTCTGACTACATCCTTCTCCATGCTGCAGAGGGGGCTTCCGAGCCCTGAGCAGTCACCCTCCTGCTCAGCATCTCGCCTTGCTCTCAGCTACAGGCACACAACTTTAAAGCCACACGCTTGAGCCTCCGCCCGCTGTTCCCCATCTCCCTGTACCGCCTCCCGCTGTTTGCTTTTGCCTGGAACCATCCTCTTCTCCTTTCCTCCTTGACTCCTTTCATCCTTCAGATTCCAGCTCAAGAGTCACTTCCTCAGGAGAGCCTTCCCCAACCTCTCCGACTAGGTTGGAGGCACTATTGCATTCGATGCTTGTACAGGAGATGATTTTATGGTCTCTCTTCCCATACTTGACTCCAGGCTTCATGACGTCAGGGACCCATGCCATTGTGTTTCCCTTATTTTTGTATTCCAGTGCCCAGAACAGAATACTCAGCGAATGAATGCATGGGATGGCGTGGCCACTAACACATATATGTACTGGACTTGAGCTGGTGTCTGGGAGTGAAGCCAGTCTAAGCAGAAAGTGACGTTTGGGTTGTTAGCATCTATCGAAACACTCCAGTGGCTTCCCACCTACGTCTGGATAATGTCTGCAAGGCCCTGCGTGATCTGGGCCCCCTTCTTCCCACCTCGCCCACTTTGCTCCAGTCCACTGGCTTCTGCTTTTCTTCAAACCTGCCTCAGGGCCTTTGCATTTACTGTTTCCTCTTCTGGAACACTCTTCCCACAGATAGTCACTTGGCTCACTCCCTTAACTCCTTTGGGTCTTTACTTCAATGTCACCCTATCTATCTATATCCTATTGTGTACCATCTCACCCAACACTTCTGTCCTCCTTCTCTGCCTTACCTTTCTCTGTAGTACTCATCAGCATCTGACATACAAGATAATTTATCTTGTTAATTGTCTGTCCCCCCACCCCAACATAAGTTCCAGGACTGTAGAGATTTATGACTGTTTTGTTCCTATCCCATCTCCAGGATCTAGAATAGGGCCTCAGTGGACTTTTGAGCAAATCAATGAGTCACTGGATTGCAACAGTATAATGGCTGGCAATAGCTAAAGTTGGGAAAAATTTTAATTTCTAAGGGAGAAAACTTTGAAAATTTTAACGTAGGAATGCCAGCTAATAAATGCAAAGGGAATGATAGAATTGGAAAAACATCATTTGACGAACTCTGATGGTATTAATCATGCCTTTTTGTTTTCTGTAATTCTGATGCTTTGACATCTGAGGCTTTGCTGACCCTGGAGAGACTGCCATCCCAGGGCTAGCTCTTTCCTAGAGAGAATAAATGACTGCTTTTCATATGCAAACCAACCAACTCAGAGCCCATACACCCCAAAGGCCTCCTTTCCTCCTTTGCTGGGCTCTGACACTCTGAGCCACTACTACCCTGCCCTAATCACCCTGGGGCCAGGTATCAGACAACTGGAGACAGCCCCTGCACTCCAGGGCCTGCTGAAGTAAATAGCCAATCTTAAGTCTGCTTACCCTATCTCACCAGTTCTTTCCCACGGAAACCACAAAAGAACTCTTGCCCATGTTTTCTCCTTGATCCTTCTACCTCCTGACTGGCCCTGGTGCTTCCCCGCATGGCCTGCCCCCTCTTTTTGGTAACTGTAACAAACTATCTTTTCAACGGCAATTGCCTCCAGATCTGCTGACCTCGCCATAGCTGAATAATAGTAAAACTTACGTTTTAAAATACTGATGACATCATTGACTCAGACAAGGATTCTTTATTGGTGTGAAAATCATTAGGTGAAGTGTTGAAGGGGAAATGGCTATTCCTGTGACACCAAAGTGATGCCATATGGATTATGACTCTTCACAAGGTGCAAGCGAAACTATACAACAGGGGATCAGCCACAGTCTAATGTCAATCTTCACATCACAAACAGTGTCAACCAATGTGATGGGTCACCTTGCAGCAGCTGGAATCCATCAAGCCTTTAGACATCACTTCTCGTTTTTAGGAAATACAAGGAATAGTTAAATGAGACCACAAGAGAGCTACCAGATGAATGTAGAAAGTGGCTGATCTCTTTCATAAGTAAATGTCATAGAAAGGAGATGCATTAGGTTAAGACACGTAAGGGACTCAACATCCAGATGTACCGTGTGGTCCCAAATGGACAAACAGGATGTACAGTACATTTCTGGCCCGCTGGGAAAATCTGAATATGCTCTAATAATGTATCAGTAATATGTCATATGAGCTCTGACACGTAGGATGGAAATTACTGGACTAGGAAGGTAGAGATTGTGACTGAATGAAGAAGGTCATAGGATGGTATGTACAGTATGATCACATTTTGCAAACACACAAGTCTATGTATGGATATACATGCACACATGTGTGTTATCGTACACATTATATGCATAATCTACGAGGACAGACACCAAAGAGCTGACACTGGTGGTCTGTGTGAAGGGAATGTTAGGTTTTGTTTTGAAGAAATCTTTTCTTGTCCCTTAAAAAAAAAAAAGGAAGAAAAATGACTGGGGCCCTTCATCCAGTGTCCCCATCAGAAGGGCTGCCCTGAGCTGTGGGTGCTCCTGGGACCCCCGTTCTCCTGCAGCTGTGTTAGCTCCAGGCCCCCAAGGGTGCAGGTCTCAGTCACTGACCTGCCAATGCTGGGCAGGTAGGAAAATCTGGGGTGGACTGCATGCCAGACCTCACTCTTTTTGGAAACGGTAGTCTCTGGTAGTCATTCCCAGCCCCTGGTCTGTAATGCATTTTTCTCTGCTTGGTGGAGAAATGAGAAAAATAAGGACACTGTTGTCAGTTTTTTCATGGAACCAAATTATTCAGTATAAAGGACTGTTCTTTGTTCTAAGGTTATGAAGTTCTAAATTTTTCTATTTTTTTATTTGAAGTTTTAAACTTTTAAATATTAAAATGTCCTTCTTCCTCCCAATCTTTATTGAGATATACTTCACATCCAACCAAATCTACCCATTTTTAAGTGCGTGGTTTGATGACTTTAACCACCAATATGATCAAGACACATTTCCATCACCCCTAAAAGTTCCCTAGCACCCATTTCAGTCAACTCCTGGTCCCAGGTAACCAATGATTTGCCTTCTGCCACTAGTTTTGCATTTCCTACAATTGATTATGAATTTAGGCATACAGAGAAAAGCTGGAATAGTATAATAAACACCTACATAGTCAACATGGAGATTCGACAATGAACATTTCGCTGCATGTGCTCATCTATCTCTATTGCTTTTTTCCTTTTGAACCATTTGAAAGTAAATTGCAGACATCATGACAATCAATAAACGTCAGAATGCAGCCGCTAAGCATAAGGACAAAGTGTCCTTCCTTTTATAGAGATGAGTGTAGATGGCAATTTAGAAAAAAAAACCCTTACTTGGCCAAAATAAAAAGTTATCCACCTCTTTCTACAATTCTTTTAGAAATCTACTGGTCTATTAATGCTCAAAGTCTAAGAACCACTCACTGGCTATACAATAGTTGTTTCTCTGGAGTCAGCATCCAGCGAGAAGCAGCTGTGAGTCCTGTGTTTCATTTCCAACATCAAACGCAGCACCAGCTCGAGGGGGTGGGGGGTCGGGATATGCAGCTAAGAAGCTTAGGGGTTTTGGGGCTAGGTTATCATCTTAGGGGCTTATTAGGGCACACGCATGAGGAAAACTGGTTCAGTCTGCTAACCGTCAACTACAAAATGAAAACCTTGCCTTAGTTTTACTGAAGCAGAGAGCACTTGACAAGTTTGAGGCTACTGTATTTATGCAGAGTGCCAGGGAATCAGAGCTTTTAAAAGCCACCCTCATTTCAACATGTACCTCTTAGTCAATTGGCCTTAAGAACAGAGGGCTGTTGTTATGGGCTGGGCTGGCTAATGTCTGAAATCATAAATGCAACCCAACGGGCAGAGACCCTTGAAAAACATTTAGTCTATACTCCATCCCTTGCTTTGATCTCCTCTACAATAGCCACAGAAGTTGTTGAATGCTTCCAGGGACAGGGAAATCACTACCACTTTTCTTTGAAATAGCATGAAGTGTGAGAAAATTTTTTGTAGGATGGAAATCAGCCTCCCTTCTACTTCTCTGTGTTGCTCCAAGTTAATCCAATCTCTTCCACACGTCAGTCTTTCATGATTAGAACACAGGTGCTCAAGCCTCATGGGCACTGAAACCCTCTCACACCCAGACAGATTTCAAATGTCCATCTTGAAGCATCACACTGACATCAGTACTTAATGCTCCAGGTTTCTGTGCAGGAGTAAGTTGTACAAACGGCCCCAGACTGGAGTCCTGGGCTCCGTCGCTCACTGACGAATCCACTGCAATCTTGAGAAACTAGCTTGGCCTCACTGCTATTTGCTTTTCTCCATCTGTAGAAGGGGAGCCCACGAGCTGCCCTGGCTTGCAGGGTCAGGGAAATGCATCAAATGTGCAGACAAGGTCTTGAAAAGGATCCTGATGGATGTTCCTTCGTCCTCTCTGAGGTGAGAGCTTCTTCACCCTCTGGTCCTGCCACATGGGTCTTGACGCTAGAGGGGGTTTCGATGGTAAGGAACTTGGAGTTGACCACAAACTGAGCTGCTTACACCTGAAGTTGAGCAAAATTAGGCAGAGCCTTCTGGAGAAGTTTGTTACACACAATGTGTCCCCTCAGATTCACGTGCTGAAGCCCGTTTACCGCCCAGTGTGACGGTATTTAGAGGTGGGGCCTTTGAATGAGGTCATCAGTGTGGTTCCGATCTGACAGGCTCTCCAATCTTCTTGTGCACAAACAAGTCTCATGAGCACACAGCTTAGTGGCAGTGAGGCCTCAGGATGAATTGAAGTCTACCCCGCCAGTGCCTGCCGCTCGGACTCCAGGCTCTGGAAGTGTGAGACACTTCTGTTGTTTAAGCCACTCAGGCTACGGGTTTTTTGTTCTTTTTTAAAAATTTCAATGATGTTTATTAAAGAAGTAATAATAGCATGAACAGGGCTTCCCTGGTGGCGCAGTGGCTGAGAGTCCGCCTGCCGACGCAGGGGACACGGGTTCGTGCCCCGGTCCGGGAAGATCCCACATGCCACGGAGGAGCTGGGCCCATGAGCCATGGCCGCTGAGCCTGCGCGTCCGGAGCCTGTGCTCAGCAACGGGAGAGGCCACAACAGTGAGAGGCCCACGTACAGAAAACAAAACAAAACAAAACAAAACGCATGAACAAATGCAAGGTCTATGATATCTACCCATGCAGGCTACGGTATTTCATTATGGCAGCCCAAGCTGAGCAGGACGAGGGCCCGCGCTTTGCTACAGACAGATCAACTGCTATCGATCCAAAGTTTGGGGGAAAAAATGGACACTAATCCAGTTTAAGAAATACGCTTTTTTGTTGGAACTAGGTAGAGGTGGTGCTCGTACAACACTGTGAATGTGCTAAATGCCGTTGTTCAGTTTAAAATGACTAGTTTTATGTTAGCTGAATTTCAACTCAGTACATTTAAAAATAGTAGAAAAAGAAATACATTTTTTACATCGCGAGCCAGTACATACCCACATATATACACAACACTCCTATGAAACAATATTTACCCTTGCTAAGTGGTTTATCCTTATTTTTTTAAACTACTCTCCCTCTGACTCTTCCTTATAGCTGGTTACGATTCACTTTGTTTTTGCTGATTCAATTCTACTAAATAAAGACTTTGTGCCAAGTACTACATGAATGTCAAGATACCAAGGATATGATTGATCTTGAGACTTCTGGCTTACGACCTCTTAGAAGCACCTGGGCACGTACTCCGGGGAGCAATGGAATGTATGGCTTTCTATCTAGAAACTAGACCGCGTACAGCTTGTCTTCCTATGGGCCTGGCTCACAAGCATACCTTCCCATTGTCTCTGAAGTCCATTTCTCTGGAAAAATGAAACCCAAAGCCTGAATTCCCCTGCTCTCTTCTCCAGGTCCTAGGGTTGGACCAAATCCCCAGAGCCTGGCACATAGCAATCTCCAGGGCTACATTCCCAAGTGGGACACAGAGCTTACATGAGGAAAGTCAACCAAATCCAGCGTGGCACATCAGCTGCCAGAACCGCCAAGGCGAGTCCCTTCCCTGTCCCCACTCTGCTCTGCAGTCCCACTGAGGCCGGGCTGCGCGTGCCACCTGCTCTAGCCAACGGGGTGTAACGGAGGTGACCAGGCAGAGCGACAAGCGGTCCCACAGACGCTTGACTTCTTGCCGCATCATCCTTGTTCACCTTGCTGATGTCACATTAACAGTCAGATATGAGTGAGGCCGCCCTCTACCAGTTGCCCCCAATCCAGCCGGCTACGCCCACTCACAGAATCGGGAGAAATAGTACTTGTTTTAAACCATTCCATGTCATGGCAGTTTGTTATGCAGCAAAAAGCTCACTGATCCTGATTCACTTGTTTCTTTGCTGATTCAGTTCTACTAAATAAAAACTTTACTGAGTGCCCACTGTGTGCCAAGCACTTCGTGAATGTCAAGGTGTCAAGGATATGGCTGATCCCAAGACTTCTGGCTTACGACTACTTAGAACCACCTGGTTCTAAGAGGTTGTAATCATAAACAAGGCAATCATAAAAAACACTGGAACAGTCAGGAAAATTTGAATATAGACTGGATAGTGGATAACAGGGTCACTTAATTCGGTGTGGTGTAATTACGGCATGGTGTCCTTATTAGGTTGGGATGCATGCTGATTCATGGGGAAAATGACATGCTTGAACCTTGCTGTAAAGTACTCTGGCAATGAGTACTACTGAGTGGCAGGTAGGTACACCTTGCTACACTGGTGTTTCCTTCGCCTCCTCAGGTTCTGGACCCCCAGAGACGTGGATGTTCCCATCATGCCTGCCACTCAGGGTTGGAAGAGGGCCGCTCGGCCCCCAGCAAGATGAGTAAGAGCAGGAGTGTCTGAAGAGTCCACCATGGCCAGAGCACAGACAGGATGCGAGAAGCGTCTGGAGTGAACACAGGGGAGAGTTCAGCAGCACAGATGGAAACCAGGGTTCCCTGAGGTGAGAGAATCCGATTCTGCCGAGGTGAGGGAGGCAAGAATCACTTTCTGGATCAGAGTCCAATCTTTCACTGGCACGTACCACACATCCTACGTGTTTCTACACAATCTATGCAAATACAGATATATTTCACTTTATTCAAGATTCCCAAAGCTTACTGGCTTGAAAATTTGGGATTTCTAGTGAGAATGAGCCTTACAGTAAGACACAAGAGAAAAGACGCAGTGGAATAAAGACAAACACGGGCAGCTCGTCCTCGCCCCCGAAGAGGCACTTCCCGCTGGCTCACGTGGAGGGCTGGATGGGGCACCAATGCCCACCTGGGGGCCAGGACTCCAGAACAGTCTCTTGCTTCGCTGGGAAACTTCCCCCCATTTGTGAAATGGGATACACTTCAGATCTGACAGAATTTGAGCGCCATAGCTTCCTTATTACTATCCAAGACATCTATCTCATAAAAACAAACATTTGTGGCTTCTGCAGCCTGGCAAGCAGTCCTGCACGAGGTTTCATCACTGCCACCCTTCTCTCCCGGTGCTGCACCCAGGCGGCGAGCTTCAGGTCTACATTTCAAATTGTCAGATTCCCCAAGATCACGATTGATCACGGTTGTGCTATAGATGTGAAGACACACAGTAGCTCTGCACACCTTGGTACACTCCAAACCCTGGAATTTCTCAACAAACACACCCCTGGGGCCTGGGCTGGCCCCTCCCAGCTGAGAGCAGCTTCATCCACTTGCTCCAGTGTCCCCACAAAATATCCTGTGTGCTGTGATGTGAAAGGTGCATCGGGGCTTCACAAGATAAAGGTAAAAGTGAATGTGTGCACAGTATGTGCTATAATAAGGCACAGAACTTGATATATCACACTATTTGGGGAAACAACCTAGGAAATATAAATTTTAAAAGTCTTTAATTCTCAGCCTGAGATATGCTAACGTCTGGATCAAAGCCCACAGCACTTGCAGGGGAGCACGCTAGCTCTAACCAGTCGGGATCCATCTGGGAAATTAAAAACCCCCATGCCCACCTCCCACCCTGACCAATGAAACCAGCAGCACTGGAGGAGGGTCCCAGATGATCCGAGAAAAAGAGAATGAAGACCATGAGCTGGCTGGAAGCATGTTCCACATGTGGTTCCAATGGAAGCCATGTTCCACATGTGGTTCCAATGGAAGCCACACCTGTAACCCAGCCTTGGCAGTCAGGTGACCTGAAGAAAGCTTTACAGTATGGATGGATCTCAAACTGAAACATCTTTGTTAAGAGCAGAGAGCAGTCCTGCTTCCCTCCAAGGTCAAAAAAAAAAAAAAAACCCCAGGATAATCAGAGGCTATGACAATGTCTACTTTCAGCCTTTTTGAAGAATGAGACTTACCTCCTTGAAGGTGACTGCAACAGGATCCCCACCTTCCGCTTTTTGGAGATTGCTGGCTGCCTCTGAGACTCCAGATCATGATGGAATCCTGACTCAAGTTGCTGGGCTATCTGGTAATGGGCTGGACAGGGGTCCTTGGGGGTGGGGGTGGGATACATCAGGGAGACCCTAATTTGTTATGGCACACGGCCGCTTGCTAGATATCTAAGCTGCTACGAATAAATCACTCTTCAATGAGGAAATTCATGCCCCTTCAGCAAAGAAGAGGCCTGGCGGCTGGGAGACACATACAGTTCACTATCAATCCTGTGAACAAAGTCTGCAGCGCAGGGACAGGAAGCTCGTACTGCTGCAGCGTGGAGCAGACCGCACAGCTGCCGAAATTCCGAAGAGACCCTTTTCTGGTTCCGGTTAAGATTTGCAAACGACGTGAAACCGAACGCTGATGTTTACAGACAGTAATACCTTGGGCTTAAATGATGAACAATAAGGAAAGGCACGGGGACAGTATTAACCATCATTTACAAATGAATGAATACCAGGAAAACAAATGAAAAAAACCAGCTTTTCGCCCTTAAGGATAAAGAAGAATAAAATAACTACCAAGAGGCATGGAGTGTGAAAAGTACATAACAGATTTCTTTTTTATTTACAATCAAGTTCTGTTGGGCAACATAATTAAATAAATAAAAGACATGCCCTGGCCTGTGAATTTCAACTCCCCTCAGCACGAGTTCCCTGAACAGCAAACTGAAAAGGGGAGGCGAGGGCAGGGGAAAGGCGAGAACAGAGCCGCCAACACCATCAGAGGGAGCGCGCAGCCCGTCCTCGCCCTGCTCTAGCCCTCGCTCCCACAGATGTCCAGAGAACAAGTCTGGAAGGAAGAAAATTAAAGTGCGAATGAGTAAGTGATAAAAATATTGGTGTTTCAGTCACTCAAGGAACTAGAATTTTATAAACGAGTAAGATGGTAAAGATAAACGTTTAAAAAAAAAATGCATAGGCCAGTTTCTTCCCGGCCTTACTCGCAAGTCCCGAAATCGAAAGACGGCATTCCCATGCTTCCTGGAATGGGCTTCCTGCACTAAAGCACCGAGGGGGTATTGCACATAGGCTTGGCAAAGGGGCAGCGACCCGGAACTACTGGCTCCAGGGTAATACACTGGAGGCCTCCAATCCCACACCACCGGCAACTGTAACCCCAGCACAGCCGGGAAGAAGGGGGCGGCCCACCTTCTGAGAAGCTACAGATGATCCGGGAATACAGTCTTTATTCCTGCAGCTCACCCGCTTCTCTGGAAAAAGGGTTGTGCACTTCTTCTCCTACCCACTGCCAATTTTTTTTTTTTTAAACCAAATTGAGATTTATTCCTTGACCAAGAGATAGATATGTAGAACTGGGGGGGAGGGGAGGGAGGAAGGAGTTTTGAAGAACAGTTGCTTTCTAAGAACAGTTTAGGAGACCTAAGGAAATTCCAACTGTGATCAGGTGAGATCAGAGTAAGAGCCTCGTAGTAAAGACACAGGCCAGCAGGGGGACCACAGTCCCACCGTCCCCGTGGGCTACCTGAGGGCAGGGGCAATCCCACCTGGGTTTCTGTTAATCCATGATTAAAGCAAGTTCCCCGGGAAAATGACCCCAAGGTGACAGGACCTTCATCAGGCCAGAACCGACTTTGGAAGGACGGGAGAAAGCACAGGGGAGAAGCAACACCCGGTGCAGGGGGCGTCTGCGGCACCGCTGCCCAGGGAAGAAGCCCGCAGGTGCCTGCCCTCCCCCCACTGAGGTATGCAAGATCAGAGCCAGTAGTGTTTCCCACTTGAATCAAGGCAAGAACCTGAACCTCTGCTGAGCGACCGCAGCATCAGGTTTTTCTCAGTGTTACTCTTTCAGGCCACGGGACCTCAGCCACGACCCTCGGGAGCCCTGCTCCAAGGCAGGCTACTGCGCCCCACGGCTCGAGCTCTTCTCTGGAGGTCAAAGCCACAGTCCAGGCGCCACCTGCCAGGACAGAGCCGTGGGGCCCGCGTGCCCCTCCAGCTTCTGATCCGCTCTCTCCTGACGAGGTGCCCTCAGTACTCTGACCACAGCACAGCTTTGCTTCCTTTGTCCACGCTGACGACATGGGAGCCGGCAGGCGACCAGGCCACGGCGTTGATCGCTGAGCTTCAAAGGGAGAGGTCGGAACACGGGTGAGACATTCGTGGGCCGAGCGCAGGGCTCCCTCGCCATCAGGGCGTCAGGCTTGTCCCAGCGCCCGTTTTACTCGCCGGTGTGGCTCCCACGCACAGACAGGCACTTAGAGAGCGAAAGAACTTGGAGGAACCCTGCCTTGATTCTAGGAGGTAGTTTGGAATGAAAGGAATCAGGCCTTATCAAGTCTACCCTAAGGGAGTAGCTCTGAGTTAAGCAAAGAGCCTCTGACGAGCACCTCAGGGCAACTGGCTGAGGAGCGGGGAGGCACCACCACAGCGAGGACGCTGAGGGGTGGTCCCAGGGGGCCCTGGGCCTGGGTTCTAAGAGCAGCTGGGCTTGGGGGACACAACAAAGCCGAGAGGAAAAGGGGCCTGGATGAAACTAAAAAGCACGTGAAAATCGGCATTTACAAGCAGTCGATTTCCTGAGGAAAGGGGCTTAGAAGGGGGAGAAGGGGAGCCAGAGAGGAAGGAGAGCGGTGAGGGGCAAGAGCAAGACAGGAGACGCCACATGACGAGAGACAGAACGCGGGGCTCTAACCTTCTCCAGTGGCCATACCCTAACTGCTCTAGCTGGAACGGTCTGAAATGTAACTAAGCAGGACGCTGCTGTCTGCTGTCCGGGGAGAAGGGCCCCAGCTTCCCTCCACTAACCTGGCTCACAGTAGAGCGCGTGAGTGGACACTGCCCTCGTGGGGTCGACTCGGGTCCACGCCCGAAGAGGACGTGACCCCTGGGATGGAGTCACAGGCCTGCTCACCACCTCAGAGGGGCTGACATCTTACCTGTGATGCTTTGAAAGGACCTTCTCCACTTTCCCGGAGAGCACGCTCCAGATGTAGAGGGAGCCCTCGGCCGATCCTGCTGCCACGTAACTGCCGTCAGGGCTGCAGGACACATGAGACAAGAAACGGCGTCTACCACCCACCCCCAACTCAGCGTCTTCCCGGACCCCTCCCCAGGAAGTCATGTTTACGCTTCACTTACGAGTCAAACACGTGACCATTCCCGTGTACCCAGAAACCAGAAGATGCTCTTCACAACTGCTTTGGCCAAAGCCGCTTCACCCTATCATCTGGCCTCACCAGCTAATGAAAAATGGTGCCGCTGCATTACTTCTTGGGGCCACAAGTCCCTAAGCATCTCTCAGACTCAAACATAGCACATAGGGAGGTCAAAGTCAACCCCCAAATGGTGAAGGGTTTCTTTCAGTTGATGGACTGCCTCATTATATGGTGCAGTGAAAGCAGAAAAGGAAGCATCGACTGTAGAGAAGCTTCTCCACGACATTGGCACTGACCATGGCAATGTATTTGGGAGAACAGCCATGCGTGGAAGGGAGAACAGGAAAGGGAAACCACCCCCTCTCCAGAGAGCCTATGCTGCTCTGTTCCAGGGGACACCACCCTTCCCAAAAAGCTCTCGAAGAGTTCTCATGTAAATGAGTAAAGAGAGGGGAACCTGATATACCCAGAACAAACCAACTAGCCATTATTAGTTTTTGAATTGGGACAGTTTCACGCTATCACAGAAGGGACACTTTAGAAAGGAAGGAAACAGTGACAGTGACCTCTAGGACTGAACGTGCAGCTTCGTTCCTGGACACCTGCGCATGCGGAGGCACCATACAGATGTAGCTCGTTTCCCCAGTGGGAAGATGCCTCTGCTCTAACCTCTGTGGTGAACCACGCTGGGGGCGCGGGCGCGACGGGAGGAGCACCACCACTAACCTGAACACAACTCTCGTCCAGTCGGAGCCGCACTTGAAGCCCGGCGCGCTGCAACAGATGACAGGGCACCGTTACCCCCAAAGTCCATGCAAACTTGGGATGTGGGGGCAAGTCAGGCTTCTGGCCTTCTCACAACCCTCTGAAAAATCAGCAAGACTCAAATGAAACCCAACCAGAGTGTCTTCAGTTACCTGAATGTCTGTCTGACGGCATTTATTCGTAGGTCAATAATTTTTAGCAGGTCATCTCGGGAGCAGCTGAGGAGTTCAGTTCTTTCTGGGTTTAAGTCCAGGGCAGTAATCTTTCCCAAGAGCTCCATCTCTCGGACAATACTCTCTGATCTAGGAAAAAGATGGAAAGTCTGAGAAAACCTAACACAGAAAGGTCAGAACTTCCCCATTTCAACCAGGATGGCATGCCACGGAGAAAAGGAGGAAGGAGAAAAGGCAACTGAACTAGAATACAATACTCTTCAAGGACGGTGAAAATGCTCCCACGCCCACACAAATAATCTCAGCCCTGGCTTTTATTATTTTCCCAGCAATAGATTCTATCAGGAGCTGTGAGTACTAGAACTCTAAAACTGGTAAGGATTAATTTCCTTGCCTGTTTCTGAAATGATACAGTAATTGCCAACCAGAGCTTCTGATCAGCATGAACTAAGCAGGGCTACTATTTAATTAGTATTACTTCAATTTTATCATTTCAACTTATCCAAAGGGACGTAAACCGCTTTAGCAGGCCTGGGCTGCCTTATATGGACAAATGTGTGGGCTCTCCAGGATTCCTGTCGTACAAAGTAAAGCTCGGGGACCCTCCAACTCATCCCGGTGACTCCAGATGTGGAACCGGGGCACCCTGGCAACCCCTTCTCCTTCCTTTTCTTCTCCCAGCTCTCCTCTGGGCCGCGGTCCCCACCCAGGTCTGTGCTCAGCAGTCCTGGGCTGGGCCCTGTTGGTGATACAGCCAAAGGAGGTGCAGACCCTTCTGCACTCATTCATTCTGTTGTAAACTTTCGATGAAATGATTTCCCACCTCAAACCATAACCAATTAAGAGAGTTTATCTTACTGTTGCTGCTCCACCTCCCTGGGACTTGGGGTCTTCATCTGTCAAATTAGGGGGGAGACCAGGAGGAGCCTTCTAACATCCAGCTTAGCTCTAAAATTCCTTACTCCCGGTTCAAATTTCTGCCAACCAGTACACCTGAAACTAATCACCAATTACCTACCTCCTAACCAACTGTCCTCAACCTAACAGGACTCCTGTCCCTTCTACTGCCCCCACCTTGGCCCACCAACAGGACTCCAGCTTTCTTCCCCTTTCTGCCACTCCTCCCTCCTTGGGCAGCTCCCTGTACTGCCCTCCTGTTGCTTCACAGGTGGGCTCTGACTAATCCACTCTCATGTCTTCAAAGTCCTCCTGTGAGGACGTCTCGTTTTTTCTCCCAGCCAACCTCTCAAAACTTTGGTTTTTCCAAATGTCTATTAGAAACCTCAAATTTATGTCCTTTTCTGAACATGTTCACTGCATCCTCTTCCTAAATCTGTCATTTATTCTGCATCTTGCTTTACTTCTCTCCTTCCTCACCCTCCACATCCAACTTGTAACAAACCCCATCCAAATCCCCCCTCCACTGCCTTGAGTTCAGATCCTCAATGCTTTACTGATTTCCCGCTCCCCAGTACACCCTTTAAAACTGCCACCAATGTAATCTACCACACTCTCATGAAGCAATCCTTTCCTAAACACCCAACTTATGAGATCAAGTCATCTACCAATGGCGTCCAAAGCCCACAGCAATCTGACCCCAACCCACCCTACTGGTCTCATCTGCCCTCGCCTGACCTGCCAGACTGCCCTGTTCTGGCCTGGAATGTCCCTCAGTGGCTCTTCTGCAACGTGAAGCCTACTCACTTCTCAAGACTCATCTTGACAGACGGTCTCTAACATCCTTGGACAAGGGCTCCTGGCCCTACTTCAACACACCCTGCAGACTTGTGTATCTGTCTTCTCGATTACACTTGAAACCACCTAACAACCTCGTTGTTCATCTGTTTGTAAGTACATAGGGCATGCTCAGAGGTGACTGTTGAATGTGACCGTCTACTTCAGGGTAAAGAATATCAAACTGGGAAGATAATGTGGACTGGAGCTCATTTCTGCCATTTCCAGGGACTTTAAAAACACAACCCACACACAAGACACCACCACAGTTCTGCCACATACAGACCCTCCCATCTGCCTCCCCACCAAGCTCCTGGGTGTTTTACCGGATGTCCCAGAAACGAATTTTCTTGTCAAAATGTCCACTCATCACACACTGCTCTGTGCAGACAATATCATTGCAGCTGGATCCGGCAAATACCGTCTTTATGCCTGAAAGACAACCGAACACGAATAATCAAGCAGAGGCTCCTCTGCGGCTATGCACGCAACACTGCTGCACTCTCACCCTAAGTAATCAGAACTACTTATTTAAATGAAGCTTCAAACTTGAAAAATAGTCACTACGTCAGCGCCACTCAACGTGAGACTGGAATTTCAAGGTTTATCACACTAAATGCAGGCTTTAACGTGGAAACAAACACCTCTGAGGTTAATATCTAATCGTTCATAGACACAGAGAGACTGAATTTCCTCACAGACTTTGCTGCGTAGATCCCAGAGTTTGAGGGTCCGGTCGTGACTTCCAGAAACAATACGCGCATTGTCCAGCAGGAACTTGGCAGACAGCACTTTGCCGCTGTGTCCCGTGAGTGTATGCTAAGGGAGAGAACACAACCAGGGTAAACCTCCAGGGCGCCACACTGGGAGAGTCAGCGGCAAACTGCCAGGGAGCCAGCTTCTCCAAACACCCTGAGATCTGGTCAGGAACACGCAGAGAGAAAAGGAGGAACAGCTCAGGGAAAACACCCAGAAAGCCTGTCTTTGGGTATTGCCCGGGGTGAGGTCTCAAGAGGAAGAGGATAAACCTCCCACTGCCAATAAAACTAAAAAAAAAAAGGTAATGAAAAAATAAATGAAAGATCCAACACCACAGCACAAACTTCACATGACCACGCCCTCAAAATAAGGGAGGAGCAGGCAGAGGACCTGAACAGACATTTTTCCAGAGAAGATATACAGATGGCCAATGGACACATGAAAAGATGCTCAGTATCACTGGTCATCAGGGAAATGCCAATCAAAACCACACCTGTCAGAACTGCACACCTGTCAGAACTGCTATTATCAAAAAGACAACAAGTAACAAGTGTTGGTGACGATGTGGAGAAAAGGGAATCCTCGTACATTGCTGGTGGAAAAGTAAGTTGGTTGAAGCCACTATAGAAAACAACATGAAGGGTCCTCAAAAAATTAAAAATAGAAACCCCATACGATCCAGCAATTCTACTTCTGGGTATTTTTCCAAAAAAAACCCCAAACCACTAATTTGAAAAGATATATGCCTCCCTATTTTCATTGTACCATTAAGCACAACAGTCAAGATATGGAAGCAACCTAAGCGTCCAATGATAGACGAATGGATAAAGACACGGTACATATATACAGTGGAATATAAGTCATAAAAAAAGAATGAAATCTTGCCCTCTATGACAGCATGGATGAATGTAGAGGGTATTATGCTAAGTGAAATGAGTCAGACAGAGAAACACAAATACCATATGATTTTACTTATACGTGGAATCTAAAAAACAAATCAACACCTTACAGAACAGAAAGAGACTCACAGAGAACAAGGTGGTGGTTGTGTGGGGTGGGAGTGGGGGTCTGAGTGAAAAAGGTGAGAGATGAAGAGGTACAAGCTACCAGCTACAAAACGGTCACGGGGATAAAGGTACATACAGCACGGGGAGTACAGTTAATACTGTAGTAACTTTGGTGACAGGTATAACTAGACTTACCATGGTGATCATTTGGTAATGTACAGAAATAACAAATCACTATGTCGCGCACCTGGAACTAACATAGTGTTGTAGGTCAATTCTACTTCAATTTAAAAAAAAGGATATACAAAAACTGTATAATAAAGTACTCAGTAAAGGCTCTACTACAGAAAGTATACAGAACACAAATAGGATATCTGTATTTAGTCTTATTAGCCAATGAAATGGAAAAGAACAATGTATATACTAACGGTATCTATTTAATATTATTAGATTTGTGCTGCCACGTTAATCTTACATGTTATAGAAAAATAACATGTTTGTCTTCTCCCAAGTGTTTAAAAACTACATGTAGACATTTCCTGAATCTGTATTCTTTATTGAGGCTTGTCACATCTTAAGCTGTTAATTATACAACTTAAAAGGGGCGGGGGACAATCAGAGGACCTTCTTGAAATAAGCTCTATTACAGATACCGGTCTGTATGGCTCTTGCAATTTTCTGTAAGTCTGAATTATATCAAATTATAAAATTTTTAAATCTTGGATTTTACTAATGTCTCAGAAAGTCAGTCTCCTATTTAAAGTCAGAATAGACAGGTTCACCAGAGGCATAATTTATCAATATAAAAGGAAACATCAGGGGCTTCCCTGGTGGCACAGTGGTTAAGAATCTGCCTGCCAACGCAAGGGACACGGGTTCGAGCCCTGGCCCGGGAAGATCCCACATGCCGCGGAGCAACTAAGCCTGTGCGCCGCAACTACTAAGCCTGCGCTCTAGAGCCCACGAGCCACAACTACTGAGCCCATGTGCCACAACTACTGAAGCCCGCGTGCCTAGAGCCCGTGCTCCACAACAAGAGAAGCCATGACAATGAGAAGCCCGCACACCGCAATGAAGAGTAGCCCCTGCTCACTGCAACTAGAGAAAGTCTGCACGCAGCAATGAGGACCCAACACAGCTTAAAAAAAAAAAAGATTCTTAAAAAACTAAAAGGAAACATCAGGACTCTTTCAATAAACAATTAAAACTCCTAGGGGTTTTTCAATCAGAGGTCTCAGCTTGAAATGTCAGATCATAACCACAGACACCAGCATTCCCAACAATCAAATCTTTTCGTGACTAGCTGTGAGATGCCAACCATGGCGTCTTTCCTGGGCTGCCAAGCAACGCAGAACTGGGTCATAACCGAACGTCAGTGCCCTCTGCCCGCCACAGCACTACTGGAGCCCAATGGGAGAGAGGCAGCTGGGGATGGTGAGGATGCCGCACTTTCCCTACTTTTCAATATGGATCAACATATTCATGTGTGGAAACTTCAAAGGCTCAGAAAATATACAGGTATTCACTAATGATTTCTTTGTAATTTTTAAATAAATAAATAAATAAATTTATGGAACAGCATCTGGAACAGCATCTTACAATCGCTGCCAGCCAGGTGGCAGCTGTGCTGTGGCTGTGTGACAACCTCCCACTGATCCTTCTGGAAAGATCAAAAAAGTTCCAGCAACAAAGTTTATGCTAAATACAGTATAGGAATAATGCTCAGTATAAATCATTCAATCTGCACAAACCATGGGGAGAGACCAAAAACTTGTGTAGGTACTTCTACTTCACCAAAAAATTCAGTTTTGTGTACATGCACCGTTTTCTTTCTTACTATTATTGTAAAAGTAAAATCATGTTTCGCAAACATAGGGAGGAAAAGACACTGCCCGCAAATGGGCGATGCAAATGTCCTCGTTTTGCTTACTCTAAATGCACGTTAATATTCTCATATAGTTCACATGAAAACACCCCTACAAATTTATCCACCGCACTTTTAACTTCATAGCACAAGCAGTTTTTCATGTGACAGGAAAATACACGGGCTTTGGGGTCACGCTGTTTGGCGCCTGAACACCCTGGCTCTCTAATGTCTGTAAAAGACTAACATCTTCCTCACTCTGTTTAGGAGGGTGACCCACGCACCAGGCCCATGGCTGACTGCATTCTTTCTCTTCCTTTCTGCACCACCCTCCTTAAGAGTTTCTGTAATTACTCTATAATAGCTAAACAGTCTCCAAGCAATGAGATTACAACCTAATAGAAATTTCCTTGGCTAGCAGACACCTACATCCCTTTGAAAGTTTCACGATCACAAATGATGCTGCAGTGAACATCTATGAGTACATGGCTTTCCCCTGACTTACTTCCTGGAATGAAACTGCTGGATTAATGGAATAAAGGAAAGGAATGTTTTTATTTCCTGGCTTTTCACATGTGTTACCTTGCTTTTAAAAAAGTCTGGATTTCTGTTTATTTTGTTCTTGGTGGAAACCCAGCCTGACCGGCCCTGCCTGGGGCTGAGTAGTTTCATCTCCATGCTCTCAGTGGTATGGAATTCAGCCTCCTGCAAGCATTCACTTTTATCACGTAAAAACTGATTATTAAGTCATTTTAAGTGGATCAGATTTATTTTAAATTCTTTTACCCATTCGGTGTTCTTGAATTTATTCTTAATAGTTAATATTTAACTTCTAACACTACTTTAAGGCTTTTATCTTCCTCTTTAAGAGACGGGGCATGGGTTTTGATGTCACAGCAGCCCCGAGTCCCCGAATGGGAAGGCTTAGAGCTCTCTTCCCTCAGGCTCTGCACAGGCTCCCTGGTGCTGCAGGGCAGACCCTAAGGGCCACCCACCATGTAGCAGCTACCATTAACACCAACCAAAGACAAGTGACCTCAGAAAAATGCAGAACTTGATAAGGTTTCTGAAATAAAAACCATCATCTGAAAGCAAGTCCTCACTGAGGCCACTTCTCCACACCAGCACTACAGACGTGAGCAGGATGGGTTCTTCAGCCCAGTTCCTCAGTTTTGCAGTAATCTTTTAGATTTTTTTTTTTTAATTTTTAAAAAAATTTATTTTATTTATTTATTTTTGGCTGTGCTGGGTCTTCGTTGCTGTACGCGGGCTTTCTCTAGTTGCGGAGAGCGGGGGCTACTCTTTGTTGCAGTGTGAGGGCTTCTCACTGTGGTGGATTCTCTTGTTGCAGAGCACGAGGTCTAGGCACGTGGGCTTCAGTAGTTGTGGCACATGGGCTTCAGTAGTTGTGGCTCGAAGGCTCTAGAGCACAGGCTCAGTATTTGTGGCACACGGGCTTAGTTGCTCTGCGGCACGCGGGATCTTCCCGGACCAGGGCTCAAACCCGTGTCCCCTGCATTGGCAGGCGGATTCGTAACCACTGCACCACCAGGGAAGCCCCTACATTTTTAAGAGAGTCGAAAACATCCTGTAATGAAAGAAGTCCTCTGGAATGGGCCCCTTTCAACACGAGACTATTTCTAGGACCCTTTACTAAACGGATTTAAAGCAAGCACTTGACCAGCCACTCCTGCATTCTGGTCTCACCCAACACCACCCACCTCAAGTTGAGGAGACAATGACCAGGGCTTGGATCTTGAGTTTCAGAACATGGAGATGCCCATCTATGTCCTCCAACATCCTCTGTAAACGAGGGTCTCGGTAGAAGCCAGAGCCTCCTAGATAGGGAGCCTACTTACATCCTGGGCCCTGGTAAGGGTTCATGCGGTTTCTGTGGGAATGGAGAACCTGTTAAAAGGGCCTCCTGATCTCCTTCACACACTTACCAAGTGATAGCACACAGCTGTGAGCAGACCAGAGGTCCTCTGAGCCAGCTGGTTCAGCAAAGGAGGCTACAGCCCTGGCACCAGCCCCTGGCTCGTCAGCACCCACAGCTTGGTGCTCCAGCACCCTCTCCAGTGAGACTCAGCCCACCTTTGCAAACCAGCTCACTTGGAAACAGTTACCAACATTATGACCTCTATCATCCAGGTCTATCTCCGCCTCCAGGGCCTTCTTACTTCAGGCCT